TGCATACTAAAAAATCTGGAGAGTTCTTGCAATATTTAAGTAAGCTTGCAAGCAGAAATATCTAGAACCACAAAACTTGTGGCTAGGAGGAATTTAGTCCAATTCCACCGACATGGTGAGTCGGTTAATCAAGGCTATAAATAGAGATTGTATTGCTATGTAAGAATGTAGAGGAAGTGAGAAAAAGAGTGAAGAAGTGTAAGAGTGTTTGAGTGTTTCCTCTTGTATTAAGATTGTGTGAGAATAAAAATTTTGTATAACACTTTGAGTGTTTTCTTTCTCTTGCCTATCAAATTCCGCTGCATTACATTCTCCTTTGTGAGATAAACATCTCCAAAGTAGTGAAGCATTTTTTAAACCCCAACAGCCAATGGTAACCCTTCACGAGCCGCAAGGGCTTCACTGTGAAGAGGTGACGAGACAAACTCGAAGGACATGGAACGAGAAGCCACAAAGCACCGCAACTCATCACGAATAACAATCCCCAATTCCCCCCACCCTGCTTGACTCCCTCCAGGCACCATCGACATTAACCTTGTGGAAACCAAGCGGTGGTTTACACCATTTCTGGACGGGCGGATTCCAGGCCGCGCGAGGGGTGTATCAAGGAATATGGTTGGCTGTGAGGCTTGTTTAAAAAAGAATATGGTTAGCTTTGAACTCATTAGAGATCTATTTATATATTGTTGATTATCAACTAGTCTTGGTCTGGACCCACAATGTGAGTAGTGTATCTTCCCCTCGCACGGTTCGCACCTTTTTAGATCCAATGTTAATTGTACCTGTTAGTGTTGACCTCTCCTGTATCGCATATGTTATGCCCTCGTGTTTGACAATACTCTACGTATTGAGAAAAGAAGGAAAAAGGAAGTTGTCGGAATATTTTGATTGGTGCTATATATAAAATGAGTGGGGGGAAAGGTTTGCTATACACTTTGCAGAGTAAGTGAGGATAGGTTATTTCGATATCGATTCCAGATCAAACGTGATCGCGTTGTTTTTCTGTAGTCGTTTGCAATGTGTGAGATTGTGGAAACCAAAAGCCAGGTACTGCTGAGCTGAGATGCGTTCTTTCCATGGATTTACTGGTTACAATTATTTCGTCTCTCATTCATCACATAAGAGAAGTGAAACTTGTTTTTTTTTTAATAAATGAGCTAGTTATAATAAGTTAGCTCGAATTCGCATTTATCGAGAATCAAGCCTAAGATCTCTCACTTATAAATGATAAGGAATACTATTAAACAGTAATATTAAGCGGCAAGAATCACAAGTCCAGAAAGCAAATGTCGGCTCAAATGTAATAAGAAAACTACATGACACGAAGCCTTTGGGCCTTGTCATCACAAATCAACATATCTCTCTGGTCTTAGCATCGTGTTCCCATCTGATATATATATACGAGAAAGATACTTAAATTAGGACCATTTCTAATCATTTTTGCTCTTAAGTACTTTTATTAAAAGTAAGGCAACAAGTTGAACTTTATTAAAAGTTCAAGTGTTTATTGAAATACACTTGGAAGTGTTTCCTAAGAGCATCCCAATTAGGGTTTTATCCTCCATGAAACTACTATATTTGAAGCCCTAATAAGAAATTTTATCTCCAATGAGCTGAAAAATAGGGTTAGATCCATCACTTGGACTAGCAACTCCCTTTCTTGGACAGCAAAAAACTAGGCTACATGTAGCCCCTAAAAGCAGTGGATCCCACGAGAAAAGTAGCTACCTATGTGAGCCAAATTTTGTCACTCTCACCCCACTTGCGAATACACTTATACTCTTCTTTAATACTTTTTTAAATTCTTTTTCTTTACATATTTTTGTTCCAAAGGTCATGAAATGATATAAGATGTTCCACTAAAATGATATAAGATGTTCTACTAAAAGAGTTTACTTTTATTAATTTCTAAATACAAACACACTACATATTAAAATGGCATTGGAAGTTTAGAGACCAAAACCGAAAACATAAACAAACAACATACCTAAATTGCAAGGGCATTACAATTGAGTTATGAGATGAAATCCTATCTTGTCTAATTTTAGAGAAACAAACCAACAGATAAAACTAAGATAAGAGAACCTAATCCAATGGTTCATAAGTGATAAAATCCAACTTTGTCAGAAAATGATTTTTTTTAGGTTGAAATGTTCATAATTTTTTTGAGATAACACATCAAAAAATAAACTTAAGATAAGTTAACACACAAAAAATTTGATCGCGTAATCAAATTACTACTTAAATAAATATAGATAGCCCCATATAGAGCCTAAAAGTAAATAGCCCCTCATTGAGAGATATTCTTTTATAAAGCCCCAATAATTCCTCGAAGCTCTAAAATAGGTTATATCCACCACTTTTCCAAACACATATAAAGCTCCTCATTGGGAATGCTCTAAGGAAGCACATGTTTCTCTAGGAAGCACTTCTAAAATTCACACAAAACTCTTTTTAAGTTAATATGTCAAATAGTCATGAGTAATTTTTGGTATTAGACAGCACTTTTAGTTATTTAGAAGAAGTCCCAAACAAACCCTAAATACCAACCAAATGGTCGATGACTAATTAGCAATAAGAGTTTGTTTTGGTTTGCTTCAACTAGAACAAACGAACTAAAACGTTACTTTTCTTTCATTAGTATTGGTTGAAATAATAAATAATAGATTACTAGTCTTTGTGGTGATAGGGTACTCGGAATATAGTCCATGTGGTATAAAAATAAGAATTTAAGTTCTAGTGGTGAAAGTCTGTTAGGATTTATGTCCAAATTTGAAAAATTTGTTAATTCTTCGTTAATTATTAGCACATGAGGCTCACATGTGAGGCTAAAAAGTCAAAATTAGCCTCACATGTAAGCCTCACGTGCTAACAATTAACGAATAGTTATGTTTTAACCTTATATATGTGGTTCACTTGCTAATAATTAATAGAAAGTAGACATAATTTTCAATTTTGAGCACAAACCCTAACATATTTCACCACAAGAACTTAAATCCTAATTTTTTTACCACAGAAGCTATCATCCAACTATCGTATCACCACGGGAACTAATAATCCAATCCGACCTAAATAGATAAACCACAGGTGCATTAATTACTAATTTTCTGATGCATCAAACATGGGTTTGGTTAGGCCAAGTTGACTAGGGGGTGCCTAGTGTGCTTGTTTAATTATGCTTGGGTCAAAATCTCCTTTCCGTACATTCACTTTCGTAACGAAAAATCCATCGACAAATATATGGTAAATGACGTTCATTTAGTTTTGACCATTGTTTATTTCGTGGATGAGTTCATTTGAAGTGGACAGTAGCATAGACTCATGGTGGAAGAGTAGTTGCGATGCTTTCACGAGGAAGAAAATTTGGTAATTGTAATAAACGTGTAACAACTACTGAAAGTTGATTCGAGAAAGCGCGCTGTGTTTGGATTAGGCTTAATTAAATAAGTCTATCTGATATTGCATAATATATTATGAAAGGACCAGCGTTGAGGTCAGAGTTTAAAATTTCCTCGATACAGTCAATATTTCTATGAAACTATCTAAAAAATCATAGAAAGATATGGAAATGGGGAATGAAGTCTAAAATTCACCTTATATCGGAGAAACTCTTTAAGTTTAGGCTAAAATCGATATACATTATCGAGCTGTTAAATATCAGAGAAACTCTTATATTTCGTCCAAACTAATGCTTGACAAAAATTTCATTTCAAATTTTTTTCATTTCCATCGAAAGCAATAGATATCGATATTCAATCTATCCGTCGATATTTCCACAAATTTACATATTAATATTTTCACCGATACCAATATTTTAAACATTAGTCGAAGTACATATGGTTATATTTATATATGCCTGGCCGAGGGTGGACGTCGACTCTCGATACCGATTCGCGGACGTACGTCGGAACTTAGACTTTTCTGCGTTCTTAATTTCTTTCTGAACGTAAATTACAAACTAATCATAGACATATATGCATATGTAGGTTTGAAAACAAAAAAAAAAAAAATATATATATATATATGCATATGTAGACAACAACGGAAAGTGAAGCTTTTTTGTATATAGCTAACAAATATATGCATCTCGATGGATACGAAAAAATAAGGTTTTCTTTCTACATTTTTAGGGCATTAACAATGGAATAAATTATTTTATGTGCTCTAAAAAACAATAATTTGAGAAAACTATTTGTTTTCAAGTGTTTTTCAAATTGTATAGTAATAATGACATATTGTGCTGTATTTCAGACACTGATAAATTTTTCGGACGATTTCCTAATTTGCAGAGTCATGGATGGAAGAAAGTTGAGGCATATATACATTCTTACCGGCCACCGAAAGCGATTATTTGGATGCACTCAAAAAGTCTATGGTCAAATCACATGTACATATATAATATAATCTATGATTGTGATATACACCTGCTCATTGACAACAATGAAGATATAAATATTTGACGATAAGATTTCAATGCTCTCAAGTCTGTACAAGCTACAGTACGTATAATATCTCGGTGCTTCTTGTTCTTTTTAGGGTTTCTTTTTCTGGAGTCAGTAAACTGATGTAGTCTAAAGGCCGGACTGGACATCATCTTCATTTATATGATATTCAGTACCAGTCAATTAATAAATCACTTTTCAGCCCTTTTTAAGTACATGATAGTATGGTTGAGAGTGAATCTCACGTCAGAAAAATAGAATTTTGTATGTGCTTATAAATAGTTTAGCTACTCTCAAATTGCTAATTGATTTTATAGTGGAAGGAACTCCAACTTTCTTCAAGTATGAATTGATCAAACATTAGACTTACCAACAAAAACAGTAAATTAACATCACACGTACCCTAAAGTTAAGCTGTCTGCTGTCACCGTACCCCTCAACTCATGTAACTTCATGAATCATGTATATAAGCGGAGGCCGAGGCGCACACACAGAGGCATACGTTTATCCCCACCGAAATTGCAGCCGCCGCTGAAACCTTACGTACCCTACTATCTTTAATGCTAGCTTCTTCTGTTAAAGAAATTTGGTGAACGATCCTTTCACTACTTAAAGGCTCTGCAACTAATCTTTTCTTTTTTTCTGCTCTATATACTTCCAGAATTTTATTCATCTGATAAAGAACTGGAGCAATCAAGAAACATGCTCATCAAAATGTTACTCTCCCTTCTCAATCTCCTCAGGATCATCAAGACACACTACTACTCGTTCATGATTACGTTACGTGGTGATCAATATCACAAGCTTCCCGGAATAAGTTATTCTGATCGTGTTGTGCTACAAGATCACAATAATTTATTCCTGGAAGTAACCCCTTCGCCTTGGTTGGTGCCGTTACCGGTTCACTGTATAGCTGAATCCGTGAAGAACCAGCTCCCGGGGGTGCAAAATAGAGGAGGCAAAACGCAGGATTCGGATTATGGCTCGCACACCGATACGTGTACTGTGTGCATGGATAAAGTGGAAGGAGGGCAAAGGGTGAGAGAGCTTTCCAATTGTTCACATGTATTTCACAAAGAGTGCCTAGATGCTTGGATTGATGAGGGTCAGTTTACCTGTCCTCTTTGTCGATCCAATCTATTGCCAAAGAATTGTACTACTCCAGAACCAAAAGGTCATGAACGGGAGTTGGATTCATGGAGGGCGGAGAGGATGATTTACTTGTTTGGTGACGATTACCAGTTCATGAGGTAGCTGGCTTTGTTAGGATGTAGTAGATATTCAGTGGTGAAGCAAGCATGAGGTCATTAATTGATTGTCCTTGATGCCAATAACTCTAAAAACTCCATGTGTATTTGTTTGTATTATTGTATTTGACCCCTATAATTAACAATTAAGGCAAACTAAATTACAACCTCATATTCCTACTTCTTTTATTTTCTTCTATCATATTTGTTTTCTTTTCTCTCTTCTTGTATGGAATGCTTTAGTTGAAAAACCTTGACAGTCTTCAATATTACTCTACAATATCATGTATCCACCCTCAACAAGCTTCTACTAATAATAGTAGTTATCGACATATATTGGCATAATCTTTTGGCATATGTTGACAGGAATTGGCAAGTGCCTATTAGGTGCTCGACGAAATGACCCAATAAAACTTTTTGGTTGATACTATAACTCCATTATTTGAAAATCCTAGCTACATATATACATATATATATGTACGTATTTGAATATAGTATATTAATTGTTATTAATGATTTTTTTTATCGATCATCTTTTTATGAGCATAAATAAATAAGAAAGCATGAAAACATGAATATATGAACATATGGTGATGTTGATAATCATTTCAGTTTTTTATTTTTAGTTTTTTATTTTCTTATAAATTGAAACTTGTTTATGTTGGAGAACAAAGTCGCATTGAACACAAAATAATATACACTTTGTAGTGGACGTTACTAATATCACATTTTATGATTCAACCCCATACCTAATAGATGGCCTACTAAGTTAGAAATTATATCCGCAATGATGATCGTAAGACTTAGAAAGTAGCGTTAAGGTTTTCGTTTTCAGTTTTCATTGTTCTTTTGAAACTTGAAAACAATAATCAAACAAGATTTTAGGTTTAGGTTTTTAAAAAAAAAAAAAAAAAAAAAGAAAAAAAAATTACAGGAAATGATTAACAAACATTAATGAGGCTTTATGATAGGTTATTTAGTATTTGCATAAAGAGGGTTTTTTTTTTTTTTTTTTTTTTTCATTAACATAACAAACCACTTATAAGGATGCCAAATGGGTACATATATCCAGTGATCAATTTCTTGATCTAAAGGTAATAAGCACAAATACAAATGATTTTAAAACCCTCATACGGTCATCACACAAAACACACCACTAAAACGAGGAATCCCGAAATTGATATGTCCCATAGACACGTGACATACCAAGCAACGAAACCCTCACCAAAACCTACGCGAGACAGTGAGGCTACAAAACCGCGTAAACGATACAAAAACCTACGCGTGACAGCGAGGCTACCAACAAATTCGCATAAGCGACACGAAGGTCGAAGCAACAGACCAATAATAAAACACTAAACTAAAAAACAAAAGAAAATAAACAGGCGGTGCAGCTGCAAGTTGGTAGTAGGTGTGGGGAGCAAAACCAGGGCACATGCAGAAATGTCGGGAGGAGGGTGACGCCAGCTGTAGCTGGGACGAACTGAGAGAGGTGGGGAGGAAAAGGGTTCCAGCTAGAGCTACCGAAGTTATTGGAACGCCACCACAAACCAAACCAACAAAATAGTACCGAGAACCACCATAGATTCCACCAACTGGAGTTGGTCGCAGTAATGACAAGAAATAACGACAATGACATGGGTGGTAAAGGGGTTGCCAAGCCAAGACCACCCATGCCATTGAACCGCCATCCCAACCACCACCACGAACCTAAAGATGACAAAACGATAGTTCCAAGTGCAGAGCCTTCGGATGTCCAAACAACCGAGAGAAAAATGCTGGCAAATATGCACACCCACACAGCGGGAGATCAAGAAGCCGCCACCGGGAAGCTCCATGGGCAAACCCCACCTAGGAGTTACACGAAGTCGAATAAACAAAACCTCCGAAGGTGAGACCGCCACTAACCTGGCAAGAACAGAAAAAGAAGAACAGATCAAATACCCACAAAACAACCCAAAAACCCACCCAAAACCGCAGATCTAAGCCCAAAACATGAGCCTTATGCGGCAATAAAACGGCGAAATGGATCGGAGGCTCGCCATCGAAACCGGGTGCGCACAAAAGAGTGCGGGGATAGGGTGGGTTGCCAAGCCAAGACCACCCATGCCATTGAACCGCCATCCTAACCACCACCACGAACCTAAAGATGACAAAACAATAGTTCCAAGTGCAGAGCCCTCGGATGTCCAAACAACCGAGAGAAAAATGCTGGCAAATATGCACACCCACATAGCGGGAGATCAAGAAGCCGCCACCGGGAAGCTCCATGGGCAAACCCCACCCAGGAGTTACACGAAGTCGAATAAACAAAACCTCCGAAGGTGAGACCGCCACCAACTTGGCAAGAACAGAAAAAGAAGAACAGTTCAAATACCCACAAAACAACCCAAAAACCCACCCAAAACCGCAGATCTAAGCCCAAAACATGAGCCCTATGCGACAATAAAACGGCGAAATGGATCAGAGGCTCGCCATCGAAACCGGGTGCGCACAGAAGAATGCGGGGAGAGGGTACTAGGCATACCAAGGAAATAGAGAAAAAAAGAGAAGAAAAAAAGCAGCGAATGGAAGGGGTTTGGGGGAGGGGGGAGGTGGGAGGTGGGTCATAGCAAGAGTAGGAAGAATGAGCAAGGGGTGGAGAGGCTAGGAGGAGGGGAATGGTAGAAGGAGGTGGGAGGGGTTACCACCGTCCCAAGCCTAAGCAATGGACCGACGTCTGAGGTTTGCAAGGTTAGGATTTTGCCTTAGAGAGAGAGAGAGAGAGAGAGTGAATAGGAAGAACTTGCAAAGAGGGTTAAAATACACAAAATACTTGCAAGAGTACAAGGTACATAGTTATAGTAAGAATGCTCATGCAAGGTCATTCTCACATGAATTATTTAAAACAATTTATATAAAAACCAAATCTTAAGAAATTATTTGAAAACAAGGTTTAGAAAAAGGTTGATTTTGTGACTAAAAATAATAAAACGAATTTAATAGAAACAATAAAAGAAATCAACAAGAAAACAATTTTCAAAAAAAAAATTGAAATTAAACAATTTTGAAAGAATGATAAAAAGACACCACAGTTCCGCTGTCACCTTAATAATCATTTGTAGTTTTACCAATTACTTATGAATTATACATGCAACTTTGAATGTTAGGTTTTTTTAATGCATATTCTACTTGTGGCATTCAAGATAGAATGTATATGAAACATGCAATCCATCTGTGACATTCAGATCAATTATAAACATGCATGACTAATTACGATTTGTGAAAACCCTTTGAAAAACCATGCAACGCTTAAGTCATGGCATTTTCCCTAAGTAAACTTACAATTATTAACCACAAGAAACATTCCTCAATTTCCGGGGGGCATTCCAAGAAACTGCATCCGGTTACTTATCTAAACATCATAATAATAGCTAAGCATTAAGATGTAGAGACAATTTAAACATAATGATTAATCATTCAAAGTATGCATGCATAATATCATAAACAGTTAAATAAAGACTACATATTCATGCTAAGGCTCCTTCTCCAAATTGATGTGTAGAGAACCCTAATGGCTAATTAGGTTTATTTATGCTACTACAAAATAAAATCCTTCATAGAAAAAAAATAAAATCCTTCATAGAAAAGGTCTTTTAAAAACTAGGAAACAAAATAAGTTAAAGTAAACTATGAAACATAATCCTAATCAATTAAGGGAAATCTGTCTAGCCACGTTGAGGACCTTAGACACCTCCAAAACAGGCACAAGACAACTCTTTTAAAGCTTGAGATGTCTTGAACATATTTGCAAAAAAGCCCATTGCCATAAAACGACATCTTGAATGCCAAAAAAGCTAACTAAGCCCAAAATGTCACTTTAATAGTTTCGTGCACTGGTCATTTATGTACTCGCCATAAATTAACCGCTTAGTAGAAAACTTTGCAAATTTGTCACAAACAAATTGAAAGACTTGCGAATGTCCTTCAATTGGAATCACGCCATAATTCATCCGCTTGGTCACTTTTTGCTCAAAAGGGGGGGTTGCATGTCCTGCAATTAAATTATAATTCAAAAAATCAAAATATGGTCAAAACAAATACCAAAATATATTAAAATAAAGTAAAATATATAGTATAATATTGACTCATCACTTTACAAGTGAGTAAAACGATATATGATAATCAAACGGTACCCATGCATCATATCAGTTTCTTCTTACTTTTCTTTTACCCGTGCGTTAAAAGAAAACCAAACCTAGATTCAACTAGAAGTAATTCGCAACCCGTTGGGTCATCAAAGATCACGGATTAACGGGTCACGGACCAGCTAGCGTTGTCGCCCTAGCTAGCACATCTCAATGGTCCCCATGCATGATCGAACTGACTCAAGATTAAGGCCGGTGAATGGAAAAAGAAAAACGGACCGACCTTTTAGACGTAGACAGACAAAGGAAACGGACCGACCTCTTAGACGTAGACAGACAAAGGAAACGGACCGACCTCTTAGACGTAGACAGACAAAGGAGTACATTTTGTTGGCAAAATCTCTAAATCTTTTTGAGTAACAAGCATCAATTAATTTGTACGTTATTCGTATATTGCCTACTTTCTTGGACTTGTTTGGCAGATGAACCGGTTGATCTGAAATCATTTTTTGTTGGATTAAATGGTAGTTATAATAGTGTTTTTCTTTGGAAAATTGTATTTTTATAGTTTGTTCACTAGAATTGAATGTCTTAATAGTTTTGAATTTGTCTAAATTTTGTAAGAATGATCTATTTATAATGTACTAAAATATAAACAGTAGCCATAAACTGATGCTGACTTAGGGTACCTAACTAAAAGTAGAAGATATATATATAAAAAGAAAAGAAAGACTTACTTTGGGTATATATCTTAACCAAAAATAGATGTATAAAAAAAGAAAGACTTAGGAGTAAGATTCCTAGGAGATGGTTAATTTGGTGCATTTTTATGCATGGATTCTCTGTATCCGTCTCTCGTTGTCTCACAGCGAAGCACCACATGATTGAATGGGCGGAGATGTGAATGTGTTCGCACCTACCAAGACATCGTTATCATCGTTATCATCGTTAGCATGCATTATTTCAGAAAACATACCCTACTTGCTCATTGTTCTAATACAAAAAAGATGAGACCCTCAGAAGATGCGACTTTAATTTACCAGTTCCCAAAATGTATCCATAAGTTGACAAAGTGAACACACAAAATTAATGAATAAGTAGGAAAAAAAAACATCACTTGATCACTGTATATAGCTCGATTAATGTTCGTAACTTTCATTAGGTCTGTTCTAAAGTCTTCATAATTTGACAACATGGACCATCAAATCTGGTCTACCAAGGAAGTCGGTAAAGCTCCTTCAATGATTACGAGTTATGACTTTACGTGAGCTCCAAAAAGTTAAACAAGAAAGAAAGGTTCGAACTTAAGTGTAAAGAAAGAAGCACATTACTTTATCCAACTTGATTAACCAAAATCCGCAGCTCCTTGGTTGATTAATTACAGTCAACTTCATCCAATATTCAACAATACTCAAATTGATTCCTTAAATTTGCAAGCAACACGTATTAATCCCATACATATTTAATTAAGAATATCTTATGTATCGTTGGATATGTTCTTGTACTTATTATCTAGTCTAGCAAGGAAAATGAGGACAGCTTAACGTACGGGCGCCAAAAAATTCAACGGGAGCTTCTTGATTTATTAATTACACCGGGCATCATTCAATATTCCCAAAAATAAGGAAAGTTTTTAAAATGTCATACCAACTTGCATATATTTTTTTAATTTATCATATGAACTAAAATTTTAGTAATTTGTCATATGAATTTCTAAAATTATTAATTTGTCTCACCTTCATTCCGTTAAGTTTTCTATTCAAAAGAAGGCTATCTTGGACTTTTGACCCCATTTTTCACAAGTTTATTTATTTATGGGATAAATTGATTTTGGCTTTTTAGTCAAAATGGTCTCTGAGATTTGCATAACTCTTCACTTTGATCTCTGAGATTTCAAATCAATAGAAGTGGTTCTTGAGATTGTCCATCATCCATCATTTTGGTTATTTCATTATAAACTTCGTTAAGTGTCCCGGAGCTCTTGGTTGAAAGTTTGGGCAATTTTTAAAGCTTCGTAACTCAATCGTTTCTTAACCAAATTCGACCCATAATATATCAAAATGAAGATAGGAAAGTGTAGAATAAGATTATACCTATTTGGAAGCCACAATGGTTGCCGAAAATGGTCGGAAAATGGTCTCAAATTTGACTGGTCCGAGGGAAAACTGGAAAACTCGCCAGAAACTGGGCAAACTTTAAACGTTCCTAATTTCTTTTATACTCAACAAAATTAAGTGATTTAAAAACGAAAATCATACTTCTCGATGAGACGAAGAGAATGGTACATTTTTCAGCGGCTAAATTGCAGTGGTTTGGCCAGAAAATGGCTCGAAAATGGCCAGCTTGAGACCAAGAGAGCCACTTTTGAACCGTTTTTCGGCCAAACCACGGCGATTTAGCTGCTGAAAAAGATACCATTATCTTCTTCTCATCGAGAAGTATGATTTTCGTTTTTAAATCACTTGATTTCGTTAAGTATTGAAGAAGTTATGAACGTTTAAAGTTTGCCCAGTTTCTGGCGAGTTTTCCAGTTTTCCCTTAGACCAGTCAACTTTGAGGCTATTTTTCGACCATCTCCGGCAACCACTGGGCTTTCAAATGGTATAATCTTATTCTACACTTTCCTATCTTCATTTTGATATATTATGGGTCGAATTTGGTTAAGAAACGATTGAGTTGCGAAGCTTCGAAAATTGTCCAAACTTCCGGCCAAGAGCTCCAGGACACTTAACGGAGTTTTTAACAGAATGACCAAAATGATGGATGATGGATAATCTCAGGGACCACTTCTATTGATTTGAAATCTCATAGATCATTTTGGCTAAAAAATCATTGATTTTACACTGGACGATAAATTATATTTCAAATTGCTTTCTATCCAAAATAAGTATAAATTATATTTCAAAAAATTTCTCAAAATTTAATTACTCAAATTGCTTTGTCGTGCCCTAGATTATATATCAATATTATTCAGTACCTCGCTGGATGGTGGTTGTTGATTAATATAATCATATATATAGTTGACTTCACATCAAACTGACGTGTGATGCTAATAAAAGGCACCACATACGTAACCCTAATTAAAATACATCAACGCACGCGAGCTCGTTATAAACTTCTCTGGGCTTAATTATCAGAGCATCCATCATGCATCATATCCTATTGTCTGGTGCCACCATACCCCTATAAAGCCCGAGCCCGAGCATAAGAAAATTATCTACTTGTAGTGTGTGATATTATATTATATTTTGGGGGCATTTTTGAAGAAATTTTTTATTGTGACAGGAATACGAATGATATATTACATATTTTTATGTAAGTAATAAAAAACTTTATTTCTTAAGTTATTAACTTTTTAACATATATATTTCATCATTTGTATAATAACACGTGATGTACTTCCTAGTATTAATTAATTTCTAATTATCAACCTTGTTGCCCGGTCAAACCCTACCTGTTTCCAAAGCTCTTCCTTTTTAGCAAAACTGGTTAGGTTAAATGTCCATTTTGTGAAATATAAAAATAAAAATAAAAATGTTCATTTTGTTTTTTTAGGCCACCTGTCCATTTTGTTATTTAGTAAACGATCCCTTCACTGTCTTCCTCCGCTATATATCGGTTACGTTTGCTTGGTATTTGTGACTCTGATCTCTCTGTTTCTCTCTCTCTCTCTCTCTCTCTCTCTATCTCTCTCTCTCTCTCTCTCTCTCTCACATTACATTCATCTGATGGGTCGACCGAGAAACCTGCTTTCCAAATTGTTACTCGTTCTTCTCGATCTACTCAACATGATCAAGTTACATTACTGCTTACTCATTAAACAACGTCATCAACAATTTAACAAGCTACATATTTATGAACATCGTCCGCTGGAGAATGATTCATTCCCACCACCGCCTCCACAAGCAGAGACTCCTTCATGGCGGCCTTCACCTTGGTTGGTTCCGTTACCGGTCCACTGCATAGCTGAATCCGTCAAGAACCAACTCCCGGTGCTGCAATACCAAGAAACTCTCATGAAAACACGAAGGCAAGCAGAAGCAGAAGAACAGGACTGCCACGTGAACATGTGCATAGTGTGCATGGATAGCATGGAGGAAGGCCAAGCGGTGAGAGAGCCATGCAATTGTTCGCATGGTTTTCATAAGGAGTGCCTAGATGTCTGGATTGATCAAGGTCAGCTAACATGTCCTCTCTGTAGATCGGAGCTATTACCTAAAACTTGTAGTACTTCCCCAAACTCAAAAGATAAGGATCCATGGAGGAAGGAGAGGATGGTTTACTTGTTTGGTGATGATTACTTCATGAGCTAGCTGGCTACTAAGCCGATCTTGTTTCAGAAATCAGAATATTAATTGTTGCATTTTCTTATCTGAAGTTTCAACTCTCAAGCCAATTAACTCAAAGTTTTCATTAGTTAATTTTTGTTTGTAGATTATTATGTTTGCTCGATCTTTCTTAATTCCAAGTAGTTGCCGTAGAACCTATAAAAAAGAGAGAGTTTTAGCAAGAACTACTCTTGTGCACTCATTTCACCCGGTTCGGACGCAACCCCTCCCCTTTATTTTATAGATGAATTGAACTTATTGCTGGGCTAGTTATTCTAAGCCCCAATTGGCTGCAGGATTTCGCTCTGCAACTAGATGAAGGTCGCTTGGGGGGTTACTGTGGCGTGGCTAAATATAGAGCAATCCGCTCCTGCAACGTTCGATTAATATATTACATAGGACTTCGGAAGATAATCTCTTATATTAGGATAATACTAAGAAAACCATAGGACTTCGGAAGATAATCTCTTATATTAGGATAATACTAAGAAAACAAAATTTGTAAATAAAATTTGCAAACTAAATGATGTGTCACCAATAAGAAATGAGGACATTTATCTACACTTAGTAATATTCAATCATCAATTTTTATGTTAATTAGTTTACTAATTTTATCTACAAACTTAGTAATATTCAATCATCAATTTTTATGTTAATTAGTTTACTAATTTTATCTACAAAATTTAATCACCCTAACATTATTATGTCCGTACGTATATGATTAGTGGTTAACTTGTTAGAATATTTTTCACCTATAATCGTGAGGTTAGGTACACATGAAAATGGCTGACCTCATCATTCAAGATTATTAAGGTCTCTAGGTTCCATCATTTTATTTTTGGACGCTACCTTTCGAAATCAATTGCCCAGTGTACCCACATAGCACATGTTCATCTCTTGAAAACATAGTTTCTCTCGTGATCTAATTAATTTCCCGAAATTTAGATTTCACAAAGATGCTGAAACTTCCACATGCATGGTAAACATCGATAGGTTTGAAATAGTCTGCTTCTGTAATTTTCCACACTTTTACAACCAAATGTGATGGTAACCAGGAGAGATTTATCAGTGTGTCACGATCCGATATTTCATGTATCATAATACAAGTGATTAGATATTAAAAAAAAAATTGAATTGCTTATATTATGATACTTGATATATCAGATTGATTCACAAGAAAATTTTCTCAATGCCATGCATCTCTCCTCTCCTCCAAGTTCCAATAATTTTTTTTTTTTTATATTCGGAACACCATCAAGTCCACCTATATCATAACATTTCGAATGGTAATACCAATTAATTTCAAGTAAATATCTCTTCCCAAGCCACCCAACGTAATGTGGTGTTACTAGTATCAATTTATCCATGGTACGCTAAATGTATCTATTTATGAACGAATCTTATACAATACCTTCATAAAATATATAATTTTTTTACAAGACGATTTTTTAATATAACGATATTGTTTACATTAAGAAGTTATATATTTTAAAGGACATGGTACTTACCAAGAATGGACATACTCGGTATGAGTATTCTTTTCATGACACATTGTGAGTCTGACGTTGAAAAATTATTCAAGCTGAAACAAATCAGTGGCGGATCCAGGATTTTAAACTCGGGGGGTCCCAATTATAAAGGTCAAAAAAATTATAGACAAAAATAACATTGAAAATTTAAATATAATACATTTCATTCAAAAATCATATGCAAAACAATATTACAAATTATAAAATCATAATTCAAGTGTCCATTACGAGGTTTCATAAGTTACTAGGGAGTACCTAAGTTATTGATTATCTAATATGAAGCACTAAATTTAAAGGGGTGTGCTATTCACACACCCCTTTTTGTTCTCACACACCCTTTGTTTATTTCTGTCATTTGATACTCTTTAATTCAGTCGATCCGACGGCCGCAAATTAAGAAGGTGTGTGGATATCACACCCCAATTTAAAACACCGGTCAAAGAAAACTCTCCCCAAACTCCCACTATCTTTCTAACCAAACACACCATTTTTCTCTTTTACAAATTTCCAAACATCCACCTTCTCTCTCACTAAGAACAAAGCTGCCATACCTCCACCAACCGCCTCCCTCCCCATTCTCCCGAAGCCATGGTAGCTCCACCACCAAATTTCACCAACCCATGACAGATCATATCCATCTTACTAACCTTATGAAGGAAATTTCACCCATAAGAAAAATTACTAAGATGGTTGAAATAATTTGGGAAAGTTTGGGCTTATGTACTGCTCCCGCCAGACGACAGAGAAAGGTTGGAGGAGAAGTGGGTGGCACCGATGGATGAGACCATGGCAGAAGCAAGGAGGAGAGAGGCAGGAAGGGTCCCTATTTCTTTCTTCTCCGTGCGCGGTCATCTTCTCCGAGAAGAAGACAACCACTGCAACCTACACAGACCTCATGCTCGAGTACGAGGGGTCCCCGGAAAATTTATAGCAACGATTTAGGATTGGCAACGGCTCCTGAGACCTCCCTGGTCCCTATGTGGATCCGTCCTTGGAAACAATCATGTATAAAAATGTGTATCATTCTCATTCATTACTCCATCATTCTCGAAATAAATAAACGGAATTAACCAAAGTATATACATGTATTTAATATAATCATCATCTCGACGATTAGATAATAATCGTATATACATAAGTATTGTTGCCATCCTAAAATAAATACATGCAAAGACTGAAAAAAACTTTGGGCTATCTAAAGGCTTTTGTAAAATAGTTTCTTGAAGGCCCAATGTTTCTTATGGACCACAACCATTGTAGCCCACAATTAATATAATTCTGTTGAACCGGTTCATCTTTGTGGATTTGCTCAAATTCCCCACCTCTTATTTTTTCCCCTACAAAACACCAACACAACCCTTTCCCCGATTTCGTATTCACTCTTATCCATCTTGGATTTTGACTCAGACCGAAGAGAAGAATGGAGCTGATCGCCAAAATTCCATCATCCCTTCGCCCAACATATATCTCCAATCGCCATTGTTATCATTATCTTCGCAATTGTTGACATGCCGCCGCCGCCGCAACAACCGATCAGCAACAACCTCCCAACGCTACCCGATCTCCTCCTGACGGCGCTCTCCATCTCCTTCCTCTTCTCCTCCTCCGCCCGAGCTACCCTCTTCTCCAAAACCCCATTTTCCCATTTACCTTCCTGCCCTCGCCGCCTTTTCAAAATCCCCACCATGTCTCTCCACCACCACACCCAGCAACACCGCTTTGCCACCCCGCAGTCCCTCTCTGAGTGGCTCAAACCCCGATTGCTCTCCGACTCTCTCGCCTCTTGGGGGGTCAAGCCTGGCACCAAGAACGTCCACAACCTCTGGCTCGAGCTCTCCGAAGGCGAAAGCTTTTTAGCCGATTCATCCCCGCCGGTTCGGACGGTTCACGTTGTCACGGTCCGGATCATCGACGATAAATCCCGGGTTTTGATCGAAGCCCACCAAGAATTATCGGATGGCAGCGTCAGGAGCCGAGGCCGGCCACTGTCAGAGAAAATGAAACCCGGAGAGGACCACGAATCGGCGGCGAACCGGGCGGTTATGGAAGAGCTTGGTTCGATATTGAATTCGGCAAGCAGCTGCATTGTGAAGATTGTTCCAGGTTCTTACGAGAAAAGGGTGGAGGAGCGGCATTCAATGTCGTATCCGGGCTTGCCGGCGTGTTACGTGCTGCACTCAGTGGATGCTTGGGTGGAGGGCTTGCCGGAAGGTGAGTTTTGCACCGAGGAGGAGCACGAGTATCCGAATGGCGGAGCAATGAGCATTGCCCACGAGGCTGTGTCTGTCAAGAAGCATTTTTGGAAATGGGTTAGTCTTGATTCCATAAATTAACCACTTCACAATGTAGTTCAATAAATTGTTGGATTTGTTGAACTGTTGGGATTATGATATACTACTTATAAAGATACTTGACATTAAAGCAATCCTGTAAGAAAATGTCGTTTTGAGGCTTTTGGTTATTGTTTATGAGAGGACATATTGATGTGTATTACTTTTACTTTTAATCATCGTAATACTGGTTGTGTAATTTTTTACTTGAATGCTTTATCAAACTCGTTTGTCTCTTTTGGGAGCTGTTATTTGTTCAGGAAGGACTTGAGAACGTATTGGCCTTATGATCCAATTGTGAATTAAATTGCTAACCGAAAAATGCAGCTTGATTGACCAGCTAGTTCCCACACAGTGCTTGACATTGTACGAAAGAATGCTTGACCAGGGTGCTGGGTTACTTGTGTTCAAGAGAATGAGAACGGATTTTTGGTTAAAATTACCGTATTGCATTAGCTTAGGCAATATTTAACAGTTTCTGATCGGTGTCTGGGAATGTTGTCCAATTCTGGTGCAAGTAAAGCTTCACAGAATAGTAGCCTGGCTACTAGTTGATATAGAAAGACAGTTATAAGTAGTCTAGTAATTTCCTTCAGAAGATGCGATTATGAGACAGAGGCTCAGGTAAAAAAAAGTAGAGTAAAGACTTAGGAAGACTTAGAAAGAGACTCTAAGAAAAGACATGGAGTACTTGGAGCTAACGGAACACTTGGTGCAAAAACGAGTGTAGTGGCGTTCTATGATTCATACAGCTGACACCACTTAATGGATAAGGCTTTGTTGTTGTTGTTGATGTTGTTTCACTATCTTTATATGAAATTGCACAACAAATCACTGTGTGCGTTGCGTTCTCTTGTTGACTATAACATATGCACTCAAAGGTCTTGAATATCCTAATTTAGTGCTTGGTTATGTCTAGGTCTTTTATTCCTTAGTGTTTCTTGCATCAAGATTTGAAATGGATTTTTGTGTTCTTCCATTCTAGTTCATGCTCACCCTTGAATCTGGTCAGCTTTTTGGAAATTTTGCTGTAGACTTTGATTCGCTGTTGCTACTCAAAAGATTGATCACCTTGTTCATTAAGTTGTTGGCCAACTAACAACTGCTGCAGTATTTCTCTGTAGAATGTAGACATTTATCATCTCAATTATTTGTGTTTCATCTTAGACCTTTAAGCGTCGGGGAATCAAAGTCGCTCCTCTCGTAGATTTCTCCTGTAAGATTGATGTAAAACTTCTTCAAGTTCTTGAACTGTCCATAGAATTTACCCGATGGATGTTGAAACGAAATTATAGAAGCGTCGTTGTTGCGAAGTTTGTGTGGTTTTGTTATTAGGTTATTAGGTTGGAGACGCAAGCTCTCTTTCGTATCGTTAAAAAGTGGGTTTACTTTTGATATTTGTGGGACTAGATTTTTTTGGCCACAATTATTTCTTCTTTTGCTTTTGAGGACGCACTGAAAGATTATGCATGTCAACGTCTTAAATTTTAAGTATTGAAGCGTTTGTGTATTGCAAGATATGCCAAGATGGGCGTCCTTAGGAGCTCTCTAGTATTTGAATCTTGGGAAGTTCCAATGTTAATACAAGTTTTTATTTTTATATAAGAACAGAGCGTGAAGCGCGCAAAAAAAAAAAAAAATCAGTTTATTCACTGAGACATTTGGTCGAACACTTGGAGGGTTTGTTGTCAGCCATTTTATGTTGCGCATTTCTCAACAAATATCTACATGTGTCGAAACAAGGTCGAACACTTGGAGGGTTTGTTGTCAGCCATTTTATGTTGCACATTTCTCAACAAATATCGACATGTGTCGAAACAATCTGATGAGTAATATAGAAAGAATTTGTCGAGTGTTGTCAAAATAATCTATTGAAAGATGCCCAGCATTCATTACATTAAATAATTAGTAGGCAGAAAAAGATCTTCTACTAAACATATGGAGGGTCCTTAAAAGACCCTCAAAGGCATATTTAATTTGTTGGCATTTTCGCAAATTTACGTTGGACAACCTTGCGTGACAGCCATCGGCCAGCCCGCAACTATCTCGCAAGATTTGTCCCGCGTTGGAATTTTTTTATTTATAAATGGTTGCTTTCAGCTGCTGTTTACGTGGAGTCTCGGGTCCTTGGATGAAGAAGGGTACTATAATGGTATTCACACATTTATTTTTATCTTTTACGCAGTCTTGTTAATTTTTTGTTATTGATCTTCTTCGATTCGTTCAGTCCAACGACAAAAAATTGATGAGTATGTATAAAGTAAAAATAAGTGTAGAAATAGCATCACCCTTTGCTAATTGACGGAACTAAAAAGGTTAACATAAAGCCAATGAAACTGGAGGCTTACCACAAAGCTGTAAAGGCAAACCATATTTGGTCATATTTTCTCCCATAATTAGGTGGTTGTTTCAAAGTGGTCAGTTAGTTGACTAAGTGCAAATTTGCAGTTTAAAAACATTTTGATATCTTAAAAGAATTAAAATCAATCAAGTTCATTTTGTTTAATTGCAACAACCAAGAGTTTTATAGATGAATTAGTTTTTCAATTCAAACGCGAGAGTTATTTTATGGTTTAGGATCCTACTGACCCCCACACACAAGGGTCGTTGGATGAAAATCCAAGGCTACAAACAGGAAAGGTCCCTTTAAAGTTATAATAATTATAAAATCCAACGATCCTTGTGTGTGGATCAATATGATCTGAGTAGATGCTCAGGAGAGAATCTATTTCCCTTTAACTCTATCAGATACCTTCCGTCTATTCTTTTCGACCGGTATTAGCACATTCTGATGTATATTCAGTTGACAAATTCATTTCCATTGTTAGGCTGATAGAATTATGCTCAAAGGTTCTGTCGCGACTTTGCTTCCATGCATTACAATTTACAAGTCCACATGATTATTAAGGGTGAAGGGTTGAAGTGTAAATTTGGAGATTCCTTAACGAAGAAAATAATGGATTTTCCTTTTTTTCTCTTTTTCTTTCTTCTTGGCATCTCACTTATCATTACTCTTTTATGTCCTTTCCCCCCTCAATCTCTTTCCTTTCTCTGCCCACAGGACTACCACCAAACTAGAAAAATCAAAACCAAAACCCACTATTGAAAAAGAATCTATGAGAACATGTTCTCCATTTCTAAGCAGTTTAGAGCATTCAGACGTTTCTCGATCCTCGCAAAGTGGAGAACCTTGTTGATCTTGGAGTCGTCTTTTATCATTACTGTTGGGGTCCCGTGTTTGAATACATTCTGACTCAGTATCGCTTGTATATATCGTAAAGAAACTAAAAAGAAGATAAGATCGACAATACAATTAAGCAAGCCTTTCTTTCTCACTCATATATGATCATTACTTCCAGTCCTATATATCAATCATATGATTAATTGATACAAATTTACAAAAACTTAGGCGCAGAACTAAACATCAACAAACATGACCAAGCAAATATTCAAAAAACAAATCAAGAAACATACATGCCAGTAGTACGAAGCAGTCTTGGTGGTTTAGGGAAGAACTTCTCTCTATGCCACTGAGGCGTTATCCAAGTCCTGATGTGGGAAGTTTCTCTCGTAATTCAGACGTTGGTAGAGCATTGAGTCCCTTGCCTTGCAGTGAGAGGACCAGTTGGAACAGAAGGACCAAAAGCCATAACAGCAAAACAATCCACGGTAACCCGATATTTCCCGGAAACCCAAGTTCCAACCTTCCATCGAATTCGTCCTATCACTTTGAGATTCAAAACCAGTCTACCAGCCGTTTGATCACGTCCCACTTCATAGCCAAACGAGGGATCCACCGGCAGACCTATTGCCACCAGAGAAGCTGTCAAGACATTGCTGTCTTCGTGTCCTTGGTAAAACGGAGGAAGAGAAGTGTAAAGAGTGATTTGCTGGCCCTTGTATACAGCATAGACTTTAAGCTCGTCATAGTAAATCCCGACTTTCTGATTAGGGTTTTTCGAAAGGAGGGTGAGTTGGACGGACGAGTTGAGGAGGTGACCGCCGGAGAGGTTGAGCTGGTAGATATCGGCTTCTTTGAGGGAGAACTCGGGTTTCGTGGGGCGAAGGATGAGCCAGACGAGTAGTATTATGGAGAGAATTGTGGTGGCAAATGTAGAGAATAGTAAGAAAAGCTTCCTGTAGAGCTTGCTAATGTTAAGTCCTTGTTTGTGGCCACAGTGTTTAGGAGATTTTGTGGAGGCTACAGACATTTGCAGCTACAAATGTTTAGAAAGAGAAAGAAAGAGTTAGACAGAGGAGGTTTACAGGGTTAAGCAAGAGGAGGGAGGTCATGGGGTTAATAAAGGGTGCAAAAAGCAGCAATAATTTGCTCTCCCTTGGACTTTTGACTGGCAGCTTCCTCATATTGCGGTGGGAAGTGGCTGTAAGTTATGTAGTTGTAAACTTATAGAATGCGCTTCTAATTGAAAGGGTAAATGAAAATATTATGTTGTATGACTGTTAATTTAAGTATATTCTGTGACATTAGATTGACTGTTAAAAACATATAACATGTTTAGATATCCAACAAGGATAAAATATTACATTTTTAGGTAAGATCATGCACATATATTAACCGTTGGATCATTGTACACCTGTTAATCGATGTTGGATGGTTGATCATGCTTCATGATTGATGTGCCTTGCTGTGGATCGATGTAGCACATCAGATAGGGTTGTTGTGGGATGATACACGAATTGGCCATGTCAGGGGTGGGACGAGGGAAGCCTTTTCCTAAAAGCAAACTGGATTATATTCGTCTATTTACTAACTTGCAAATGCAAAAGTTTGCATGAAGGAATATTAGTAGTGCTGCGTGAAAACGACATGAAAATATAGGTTTAAGAGTCCAAAACAACTTAAGAGTTAGTTAGGGTTAGGGTGGAAAAGTTGTTAGTTAGGAAAATAGAGTAATCAAATCAATTTTTCATCCATCATCTGTTTTGATTAATTCATGAATATTCTAGGTTGTTCATATTATTGTCACTATTCCCACACATAACATAGATGTGCAAATGAGGGTTAGGTCAGTTGACTTACACGGATGTCGCATTCTTGCATCCGAGTTTGATTTCTAAACCCCCGTAAATAAAATAATTTTAAGTTATCGCCTTGTCAAGAAAAAAAAATATATGTGGGGAACAGACATCACTGAGTAGGTTTCAAGATATGCGTGATGATTCATGAATATACATGTGTGCCATGCAACAAAGTTTGAAGAGTTGAATTTATGGACGCTTCTCATATCTGATTATGCTTTACCACCAAATATAATGTAAAATATACATATAGGGTACCATGATGAGGACGATCAAAATTAAAAAGCAGATGGATGATATTGGGAAGCACTTTTGGAATAATTGAGAGGAAGGTGAAGGCTTGCCTGTCTCATTGATCGAGCGTGAGAGAGAAGAAAATGGTGCAATATCGCCAAGGGGCCTGCCCTTCTCTTAGCTTTGTCCTCCCTTGTTCTAGTAAATGGAAGATTAATCATTAAAACTTTGAGATTAGGGGATTAACAGATGACTGATTGACGGTGCAGATCTTGCTTAACTAGGGTCTAAAGTGTAAACACAATGAAAGAGAGGGAGTTTTCAAATTTATTTATCAGAAAGAGTTCAAAGGGAGAGAAGACATGGAGAATCCGTAAACAGGCTTCTTGGAAACCACTGGGAGACATCACCAATCATTCATTTTTTGTGGATTTTTATGTCTTTATGCAGCTGTTGCTTTTGAGTTAAGGAAATACTAAAGGGCTGTTAGTTGATGAGCCTCAATATCGTTTTTTATTCGAGAGATATTCTAGTTTATTCTAATCAACTTAATTACGTCCGAGTTTTGCAACTTGACAGAAAATATCACTGATTTACTTTGTATTATGGTTTGGTCTATTGTTAGGAGGGACCCTCCTGTTAAGAATCTAGAAGAGAATATTATAGATGACTTACAGTTGCTGCTCGATCGTTTGAAAGCTGAGAGGCGTGTTGTTTTTTTGCTTTTTCGAAACTTTTCATTTGAGTGATTTCTCATCTACTCATCTATTTAGTCTTCTTTTGTATATTAAATTTTGCTTCTTTCTCCATCTGGGTCCAAAAAAAGGAAGCCCTTTATGACTTTGATTTTAAAAAGACCTAGGGTTTTTTCATTTCACCGATTGTTTAGAGATAAGCATGTTCTTCTGGGGGCATATGATAGTAGCCCTTTTGTTCCACCACCATCATATTCAGCCAATCCAGGCTAATAGTGTGTCTTGAGTCATTGATCAACTGAGGAGGAAGAGAAACTTCAGTAGGTGCGCGGCATAGCCGGGCATGTAGGGCAATTATAAAGTTGCCACATCGATACAAGTAGGGCCGGATGCGGGGTGGGGTTTGGGGGCTTTGAGAGAAAGTGAAAGACCCTATTTTCCCTGAAGTTTACTTACACCTGAGATATCTTGCCACTGTAGTGAAATTCCAAACTCTTAAAACACTCAAATATATATAGGAAACTTAAAAGTTAAAACACAGGATACCATCACAATGATATGCCGAGTGTTTCGTTTGTTCAGCTGGGCCCAGAATGATGGCATTGGGAAGCTGACCATATGACATACCTGCAAATTGGTGGTGGTAAAGACTGATGTTGTTGTTCATATGCATTTGTATCTTCCTATCCCAACATCTGCAAATATATCCCATGCATTGTTTCAACTAATTCACTGCACAATTTAAGCACGGCATGCATTACTTAGTGATGTTATATTTATTAGAGGTATTCATCAATTTATCCCCTGAACTTGTAAGAATTGGCCAATTTCCCCCCTCAACTTTAATTTTGGCCAATTTCCCCATTCAACTCTCATAATTAGTCAATTTGCACCCTACTGTTAATTTTTTTAATTTTCCATCTATTCTTCCGTTAAGTAGGTATCTGCATGACTACCTTTGAAGGGCGAAAAAAGTCAATTTGCATCATACTGTCATTTTTTTCAATTTGCACCATACTGTCATTTTTTTCAATTTGCACCCTACTATCATTTTCCGTTAAATAGGTTTCCCTACACATTACTAGAGGTAGACGAGGCTGAGGGATGAGGCAACAGGGTGTGGGCAGCTGCAAACTGCAAAAGCAGCATATCAAATGGACTGGGCTGCAAACAGCGGAGGAGGGAGGCGTTGGCCTCAGTCACGGGCTCGGCTTGGAGAAAAGGAAGAAGAAGAGAAAGTTCGAAGAAAAGGAAGAAGATAGAAGGTGTAGGGAAAATGACTTTTTTGCCCTTTAAAGGTAGTCATGCGGATACCTATTTAACGGAAGAATGGATGGAAAATTAAAAAAATTAACAGTATGGTGCAAATTGACTAATTATGAGAGTTGAGGGGGTGAATTGACCAAAATTAAAGTTGAGAGAGGAAATTAGCCAATCCTTACAAGTTCAGAGAGTAAATTGATGAATACTTCTATTTATTAATAAAGCCAAATTTAGTACTAGAAAGAGATGGATTGGAGCGTGCCTTCGAGTTGAGTTGCCTATAAACAAAGACTTGTTGACAAGTTGGGAAATTACCAACCACAATTAGTGGGGAAAGAAAGAAGGCAATGATCGATTTGTGGACACCGACGACGGCTTTGACAAGTCCTTTTGGTTGGTTTTGGACAGCATGCATGTAATTGTAGGCTGTATCCAAACGACGACGTATCTATCATATCAGTAGGCTGTTTTGGTGGTAGAAAATGATATTTATGAATTCAAGTTGCATGGTGGAGCACTCACTTTTTGTTCACCACGATCAGAATTTAAACTTACGAAAACAACTAATGCTTATTTGTTTATGGAAATGAGCACCTATAGAAAGTAGCCGACACCACGGAAATTAGCACTCAAACTGTGTCGCTGTTTGAAAACGCCACCGCCATTTTAAGTTGTTGAAATTTTGGGAAAGAAAGTTGAGGTTCGACTTTAAAATTAATTGCCTATAAGCTTTTGCAAGATTTTACAACTTTTTCGAAGTGGGATTATTCTTCACATCCTTAACACTTTTTTGTCAACAGTTCAAACCTTACACATAGGTGAACATGCTTTGACGTTGCGAAAGAAATTGAAGTTCAACCCAAAAATTAATCAGGAATAGGAGAGTGGGTCAACTCCTTGTAAGCGCTTACAAACTTCTTTTTTAACTTTCCAATGTGGATAATTATTTCCTCACACTCGGAAGGGGCACTCGATGTTAACAAAGGGGTAATGAACTCCGGTTAATATACAACTCATACCTTGTGGATTCCCTCAAATTATTTACTTGGTGATAATAACACAAGCATAAATGATCAAATGAAGTTTGTATACCAAATGAGATTTGAAATCTTGAATGAACAAACCTATGTGATAACAAACAAATATAGTTTGACTAAAACATCCCTAGGAACAAAAATACACAACCCCATTTTACAAAGGATACATTGGTCAAATGAGTTGATACAATATATACTAACAAGACGAACGTAGAAGTGATGTCAGAAGCTTCTTGAGGCCCGTACTACTCTGCTCATCTGTGTTTCTTGGCATAAAAAACTGAAACAATGGTGTAACAAAGCTATATACTCTACTTATAGTGCCATCTTAACTTGAAGTACAAGAAACTCTTTTAAGTAGTTAACCCTAAAATATATTGCCATCAGTTTCTGCAGGTGAAGGATCAGTACTCGCTTGACGGACAAACTGCCCTTTTATTCTGGGACGCTGCTCTGCGAGTTTTTTTCTGCTCTCGTAGCGAACCTGCAAAATGAACCATATCGTGTTAAAATGCGAGTTTCTTTGGGGACTAGGGTGGGAGAGGCAGGAAGTAGTAGTAAAAATGAGAGCAATGGTAGAAAGGATGACAAAGATAATGAAGTACCTTCTTGTCATAGCATCTATCTTTGCGCTTCAAGCGGAACTTGTTTAGAGCTGCTTCTCTTTGGATGGATCGATAAGAATTTCCGTTTTGATTAAGGAAACTGTCTTCATTCTTGCTCTCTGGCGCAGCCCTAAACATAGCCACCTGATCAACATTGTTGCTTCCACAAGCACTTCCATACCCCATGCTACTAAGATGACCAGTATTGCCATTACATAAACTACTACTCGCACTCTGATCAGTTGCTGAGGACATATGCCCTCGATCCTCATCAAATCTTTGATCCTGATTCTGCATTGTTTGGTCCACGGTACCCTTGGTATTTTGATAAAGTGTGCCGTAAACTTGCTCAGTTTTATCTTTCTGAAGATTTGCGGGATAAAATGTATTCATTAGGAACGAGGGTTCCTGCTGGGCAGCTGAACTAGGCATTGGCGATGGACTTGATTGTGTACCAAACATTGGAGGTAGTACCGTACCGTACCCATTGCTTAGATTGTTAAACCTTATGCCTTTCACGGGAACTGGATGAGGAAATAATCTCTGCTCAGGGCGTGACGTTCCAATTTCAGATTGGTAAGATTGACCAGTAGCCAGAGTGATAATACTCCTGGGAGTACTTAAAGTTGTAGGAGGAGTATCACAATCAGCATTGGTATTAGATGCTTGCATCTCGCATGTAGCTTCATATGCCTTTTGCTGATCGCACAGTGATGTTTTCTGGGGCTGCATTGGCCTGTTGATGTATCTGCAAGACAGGTCGTTGATTGAATTAGAAAATAAATCTGGCAAAAGAGCAAAATTGATGTGCACAAGTCACAAAATTCCAAGCGTAGAAAATGGAAACTCACCTTGAAAAGGCGGAAGCATTAGAATGGCCAAGGGCGTGCCTTTTCTCATTGACTCGATTCTCAAAGCCACTGGAATCAGGTCTTCTCAAGGATAGATCCAACTGTGGAGCAGAATCAAACATGCTAGGTGTATGACTTGAAGAAGAATTTCTCTGGTTGCTACTTGGATATTTACTGAATGCTCCAATGAAGTCAGTGATATCTCTAGAAGAGTTGACAAGTAGATCGTTGTTGTCACAAGCTTCACTAGTCATATTATCATCCCTCCTCTGACTTTCTGCCTTGGCACCCTTGCCTGGTGAAACTGCTGTGTCACCGTTTTCATCGGCAGCCTCAGTTGTTCCTAATTGGATTGACACAATCATAAAATGTTAGCAGGCCTTCATACAAAACTAAACAGACAAGAAGCTACTAAATTGGAAAGGTATGGATGTTATACCTCTAGCTGCATTTTCACGCGTAAGCAATTTCTCACCAAATTTGGCGTGTGCTTCATCTTTCTGCATTCTCAAGTCACCAAGAGAAGTTTTTCCCTGTATTTGCGGTGAATATTCCTGCATATCCACAGGGGCACTCTCAGTTTCGAAGTCTGGCTTTGTACAAGAGCTCTGCAAGAGAATAAATCGTAGTCAGTCTACTGAAAACTTCATAAAAATCTACACTGTTTGAATTCATATACATGTTAGGAATGCTTTTGCTGTGCCATTTAGAAATTATGAAACCCAAACCTGAGAATCGGTCCCTTTTCCCATGTTTTCCTTAACACATGCCATATAGCCACTCGAATGATTGCTTGCAGCTTCGTTTTCAAAAGTGGCTTCGATCTTTTGTTGTCCAACGCTCTCATCAAGGGGGCCGTTTCGGGCTAACTGACAGACAATAAAATTTAGATTTAATCAGAAACAGTAAGACAAAATTTACAAGCTCAAACCAAATAACAGAACAGAAAGTTGAGCAGGCATACAGATTGTCTTCTCCAAACATGCTGCCACAAATTCGTCAGCTCATTCTTCCTAATAGGCTTGACTAGATAGTCAGAAACGCCTCTCGTCATGCATTTGTAAACCGTGCTTATTGAATCCTGAGAGGACATCACTGCAAGATCACAAAAGAAGAGCAAATTTGTTAAGCACCACCATTGTGGAAAATCAAATCAGTTATTAATCAAATCCACGTTTATTCGTTCTTCGTATCCTACTTATAACAGGAATGTTTTTGCAGATCTCATGCTCCATGATTAGCGTAAGCAAAGCAAATCCAGATATCGATGGCAGATCGACTTCTGTCAGTATGAGATCTATGTTATGAGGCCGTGCCTTCAGTATCTCCCAAGCCTTTAAGCCATCAGCTACAGCAGCAACTGCTCAAACAAAAATAGGAACCTTAATAAGAACAGCCTCAAAACATTCATGCTTAACTATACGCCTTGTCGTGAATAACAAACGAAAGCCAAAGCAAGTGACTCGAATCATTAATTCCTTTGTTCATTGAACTCAGAACAGATGGTATTAAAAACATAGCATTCTCTTTATGTAACGCCTTCGATACGGTTAATTTTACAAAATTTACAGTCTTTTTGAAACTTAACAATTTGGTACAACTGAAAGTTCATTAGATTCAATAGCAAACAATATATAGTTGATCTTACAGACTTTTACATCGATTTTAATTGGCCTATATTTATTTCCATTAAGATAAGCCAATATAAAAGCTTCAACTTCATGCTAATTCAACAATAATATTCAAATCTTCATCCCAAAATCTTTCACTCTTTTTCTTATCCAACAAGGTAAGAAAGTAAAAAAGAGAAAAGCAGCAAATCATCCAACTCACTGATCACAAAAACTCTAAACACCAACAAACCGACACCCAAAAATCACCAAAAAAAAACAAAAACAAAAACCCAGTTCATCATTAATCAAAATCCGTCACAAAACCCATCAAAACCAAAACTTTAAGCAAATTAAACAAAAACCCAGATCATCATTCAGCAAAATCCCCTACAAAATCCATCAAACCCAAAACTTTAAGCAAATTAAAGCAAAACCCACTAACCTCTGTAGCTACATTTCCTGAGAAGCGCAGCTATAATATGCCTGGTGGAGTCATCAGCTTCCACCAGCAACACCCGCATGTTCATCGTCGGCAGCAGCTTCTCCCACCGCATCGTCCCGACGGAAGAATCGCACTCGCCGCCGTCCTTCTCCGCCGCCTGTGCTCTCAACTTCGCTTCCACGTCCTCACTATTCATACCCACCCCGCCCATTTCTCTCCAAATTTCTCTTTGCACCCACCGGAGGAAACAGAGATTCGCAATGTTGCAGTGAAGCTGGAGAGTTTCGAAAATGTCTCAATTTCTTCTTCTCGTCCTTTTTCCCTCAATGTTCAGACCTTTTTGTCTGTACAAATATCTGAAACTCCAAGTCCCAAATCAATCGGACGGCGAATATGCCGATTCCCAATCAATCTAACGGTGAATATTTCCTCAGCCTACCAATGGGGTGGAAAATATCTGCACCCCTGTGTGCGGGTGGGACCCGGTCTGACACGTCATCAACCCAATCTTAGACGAGGGCCATAAATCATCGACAGGCGCCACGTCATTGGCTTCCGCATCGTGTGGTCCAAATTCAACCAACAGGATACTCCCCGGATTCTTTAAACGAGAATCTTGAAAATCCGTGAATCGTATCTATTCATCGTATATTTATTTATTGTATATCATGTAATTAGTTTTTGTTAAATATATTTTTATTTAATTTTAAATAAATATATTTAAAATAATTTTTAACTATAAACGTACAAAATTAACGGATCCCCGGAATATCCGACGAGGATCCGGATTCCAAGTTTAAAAGAAATAAGTTTTCTTCTCCGGGAGATTTTTTGGGAGGGGACAGGTGGCAGGGAGCTGAGGCCTGGCGTGTTGGGATATTTGGAGATATTTTTTAGTGCTTGGAAAGCGATGGATCTAATGGGTAGAATCGGGCCACGTGGAGTGCAAGTGGGGGGACTCAGATTTGTGGCTTTGGGAAGTAGGTCTCGGACCAAATGGGCATCTTACTTTTTTAATTGCCTATGATTTTGGTACTCTCTATGTGTGTACTCGCTTTCCTATTGGTGAAGGCAAACGTGTGGTTGTTAGCCCTTGATTGGGTTGGCTTCACTCGTTGTTAGCCTTTGATTGGTTTGGCCTCACCAATGACTTGATAATATAACATTATCTTAATCTAGTTACCTATATTAGAGAGATTTTTCAGTGTATTAGAAACACGACCCGATACAACAAGTAAAACAATACAATTAGTTAGAAATTTCAAAAAAAAAAAAACTCAACGAATTGTATTATTACACTTAATATACTAAATTGTATTTCGACACACTAAAAAATTCATTGCTCCCTACGAAAAGCTCTTACCATCGCGTTATGTGATATTTTGTGTCCATGTGGAACAATTGTGTCCTAAGAAGATAAAAAATAAGTTCAACTAATATACAATCACTAGATCAGTAAAATGACGCGGAGCTGTAGTAGTTACATTAATTTTTTTTTATATAAATACACATAATATTCAATATTAATCTACACTAAATTAGAGAAAGAAAAGTTTAAACTCATAACATTTGAGTACAAAAAAAAAACTCTAATTATCAGGGCAATTTACCACTTGCTACATTGAAAAACTTATAAGAGAAATACTAAGAAGACTATATCAAAAGTGGAATATTCATAGACTCTTTGTAATCTCATAATTTAACGTCAATTTATGTACTAACATTGTAAAATATTATACCAAAAACATAAAATAACATAAATAACTTGGAGTTCATAAATAATCCCACTTTTTTAGTCTTTTGAGCATTTCTCAACTTCTAAATAGCAAACATACCCCACAAGGTCGGTAAACATGCGGTTAGTGCCTCAGAAGTTGGTGTAGAAATTTAGACCCGCGTTAGTGGCTCTTAATCCTTCATCATAACGACTAATATTGTTTGTTTAGTGGATAGATAAAGATCAAAGAAAGTTTGATTCTTTTGTATGGGGCCATGCTAGATGGCACCTACTAATTGAATCCTCACATTCTCAAAAAAAATTGTTTGATTTTCGTTTTGACACATTGCATTTTATATCATTTCACTTTTGATGGAACGATTGTCGTATTTGCACAAAATGGTATTGTATAATTAATGGAGTAATTAGAATCATAAAATAATGGATTATGTTCTAAAGTCGCAATCAAAAATTATTGTAAAAAAGTCTACGTAGTCCACCAATCACACATTCCTTCTTTAAAAATAAAAAAAAAAACGATTAACTAGTGGTATCATCACTGCAATCCATCTTTTTTAAAGCTGAAAAGACTTATAGATGCATTTCAGTTTCTCTGGCCACACCAATCACATATTCTTTCACTATATATACCTTATGATTATCTAACAAAGACTTAATTCTATCAACTCTTGCGTTATGTGCTAGCAAAGAATTCTACGCGTGTTCTTTTGTAAACAAATATTCCAAAATCCTTGGCTCGATAGTTGCATGTTGGCCCAACATGTTAAGAGTGTTTATGTATTCAATGTCTTCGTTGGTCCACTCGTTCGACTCTAAAATGACAAAAGCTCTTTCTTTTCTTTTAAACTTACACGTGAAGAAAAACTTGTATGTCATGAAGACAAATCATCTTTTTCTTTTCTCACTCATGTAAGAAGTTGTTACATCTGGGTCCCACTTATTGTAATCATGTGCTTTAGAGATATCAAGCTTCCAAGCAAGCATTTGAGAACCCTCTTCTAAGTGTGTGAATCTCCTCAAGCAATAGAGAGTTGAAAATCTGAGCATGTATGACGACGAACAAACAAACGGATAACAAAACTATGAATATTATTGAAAACAAAGAAACATTATAAGATTTGCCAATAAAGCTACATAACACGTAAAACTACATTGTAACAAGCTTATTATCTCTAACAAAAATTATAGAGAACTAAACCTAAATCTAATAGGCGAAGAATCTAACACTTAAGGGCAAGGAATCACAATCATTGGCCCACAAGAAAACAAATAATAAAATATAATTTCCAACACCCCTTTATAAACTCATGTTCGTAAACAATATGAGTTTGCCAAGAAGAAAACTTATCCTAATTTCCGATGCCAATTTCAATACAAAATTCCGCCAGTGCAAGTGCAATATTCCAATGTCAATGGCAGTTCTAATGCCAATGCCAACTCAAAATTCCAATTTCAAAACCAATACAAATGTAAAGTCAATGCCAATGCCAATGCCAATACCAACACCAATAACAATGCTAGTGCAAACTTCCCTAATGTCAGTAGCGGACTTTCAAACAAAAATGAAATTCAATTCACCAAGTACACAACGTCACTCTAGCAGTTACCAATCTAGACACTCGAGCAATCGTTGTAATGGGCAACAACAAACTCCTTATATACAGTCCAAACAAAAGAAACCCTTGCGTGAGCCCTTGAAGTAACAAGTTGCCTAACAAACTCAAAATAAGGCCAACAACTACTTTTTCACTCCAACTTCTCACGGTCAATAACTTATTTTCCTTCTTCAGAACAAACTAATATTCGTGGTGCAACTTCAAAATTCAGAAAATGGCACGGTGTAAGTCAAATTAGAGGGTGCGGGTTAGGGGGTGAGGATGCTCAAAAGCGAATTCGTAGTTACCGAACCGAAACCAACCCTTGTAATTAGTCTTTTTTTCTTTTCTTCAAAAGTTGGTGGCTTTGTCACGTCAATATATAATTTCGGGAATCTGAAGAATTCATAGATGCATTTTAATTTCTCATAACCATCATCATGTGATTCACCAGTATCAGAAAACGAACTCAAAATGTGTTGTGTAATAAACATGTCTATAATTCGTTTTCAATTATTGGACCACCCCATGATAATTCCTCGTAAGGAGTCGTTGATCCATCTCCATAAACTCTTGACACTTGTTTCCTAGTTAAGCAAAACCAGACATCCTATTCGGCACGTCATTCTCATAGCGGATAAAAATCTAATTTCATGTGCCATATAAACACGTTGGACTGAAAGTATCTAGAGGCATGCCTATCCAAAACGGAAGAACTGGACAAAAGCAATTGGGCCCTGACCAAATTGGTAGGGCTTTGAGATCCAAACCACCCCCCATGAGGCCCATACTACGAATGAACACGTGCAAGTCAACGAGTGGGCCCAAACAAATGCAGAGCTGCATCCAACCTAAACCGTCCATCTAACCATGAGAACAAGATAAACGGCTGAGGTTTCTCTGTGCCTTGCACCGAACCACAGAGGATGAAGTGGATAACGTAAGAGATTGCCACGTGTGGCCGAAGTATATCCATTACTGTCACCTTGTCCGCTTGCTCGCTCTGTAAAACCCACAGCTGCTAAACCCCCTAATTTTCTCGCACTTTCCTTCCAATTTTCCATCGATCCAAACACTCCTTATCGCTTTACCACAAACCCTAAGTTCTGCGTTAATCTAACCCAATGGCAACTCTGTTTACTTCTCCACAATCAATGGCAACACTCTCATCGCCGATTTTCCAAAAGCCCCAAATCTTCACATTATCGTCTAGCTCTTCCAATTTCTTGAATCCGTCGAAGAATCTGAAACCCATTGCGATTGCGATTCGATCCCGAAAGTGCCGCGGCAAGTCGCTCTCCGTGCAGATGTCCTGGGACGGCCCGCTCTCCTCGGTCAAGCTGATCATACAAGGAAAGAATTTGGAGGTACTCTTTTATCGGTTTTTGAGGTTTAAATTTGGTTACTTTTGGCATATTTTGAGATTTGCAGTGATGTGTTTAATGAACTTTGTGTTTTTGGACAAAACATTGTAGAAATTACCATTAATTGGGAATCTAAATTGTATTTTGCATTGGCTTGTTATCCAAAATATATCTGAAATTGACATAACTCATCATTTTAGTCTATGTGCTTTAAAATCAATCGAAATGGTATTATCAATCGTCAAATCATTTGAGTCATTTTATTAGAAATCTCCGTTAAATTGATGATATTTTTGTTAAATCAATCCCTCCCCGTATATTCAATTTAATAAAAAAAAATTCTACATAATGATCAAAATGATTGACGGACAATCTCATGGACTACTTCTGTCAATTTTAAATCTTAAAGATCAAAGTGAGGAGTTATGGTAATCTCAGAGACACTTTTGGCTTAAAAAAGACTTGATTTGTTTAATGTATTGTTATTTGCGGGAAGTGCATTATCTGTGGAAAATTGGAATTTTTGTTTTTGCTTTTAACAAGTGATAGCGGAGGAGGGAGATTCGAACACAGGACGTCGGCCGCAGAATTAGAAACTTTTTCATCAATGTGGAATTTGAATGAGAAATTTTCAATCTGTGAATTCAGTTATCGGAGGCAGTGAAGAAGCATGTGGAAGACAAGGTTGGCAAGGCAGTTCAAAAGCATAGTCACCTAGTGAGGGAAGCCGATGTTCGGTTGTCTGTTCGAGGTGGAGAGCTTGGAAAAGGCCCCAGGATTCGGAGATGTGAGGTATTGCCGTCTGATGAATTTCATGAACTGTTAGGTTATCTGCAATTGCAGCATACGGTTTGTTCCTGTGAAGCACATTTGTGTGTGTTTGTGTTTTGTTTAGGTGACTTTGTTCACGAAGAAGCATGGAGTGTTCCGTGCTGAGGAAGAAGCTGAGACACTTTACGCGAGCATAGATTTGGCATCTTCGATTATCCAGAGGAAGTTGAGGAAAATCAAGGAGAAGGAATCGGATCACGGGCGGCACATGAAAGGCTTTAACAGATCGAAAGTTAGGGAGCCTGCAATGCAAGCATTGGCGGAAGATGAAGAGGAAGAGGCAGAGGCAGTTCCCCAAGAGCAGGAAGAAGACTTCATTGACGAGGTTGTCACTTGGAACTTTCACTACGCATCTGCTGATTATCTATAGAAATGCCATTCTCTCCATCGTATTCTCATTGGTCGGTCATTTTTACTAGGTTGTTCGAACGAAATACTTTGACATGCCGCCTTTGACGGTTGCTGAAGCAGTTGATCAACTGGAAAATGTTGATCACGACTTCTATGCTTTCCGAAATGAAGAAACTGGTAAGAAACTACAAAACACCCCTACTGCCTTCATTTCCTCGAACGTCAGTTTTCGATTTCTGTCATCCAGTAGTTGAAGTTTTCCTCTGTTCTTACTTAGGTGAGATTAATGTAATATACAAACGAGAAGAAGGCGGTTATGGACTTATTATACCGAAAGGAAATGGTAAAGCGGAGAAGTCACAGCACGTGGTGGTAGAGCGAGCTAGAGAACGCTCCTTGGCGGAATAAAGAGGCCTAGGTATCCAGTCTTGTACAGCGGTGTTTCTTAAAGTTTGAGGGGCGTAGTTTTTGTAACGTACGAATGAAAGCTTATGAGCAAATTAAAATCATAAACATCAATTCCTCAGCTGCCTCTGCCTTTCTTTTACTCGACTGACTGAACTAATTTGTTAACCGTCTCTGCATCTCTTTTCAGAGCCTCATGTTAATTCAGATTTAACAAAACATCAACGAGAAAAACGTAGAAAGTCGATATGCAAACTGCTCGAAAGGTATAGCTTTCATAACAAGGAAGCTGAGAAGATTTTACCATGAGTAAACAGCTCAAATTTGTATCATGACTCGTTTGTATTACAAACGTTTTCATTTAGATGATCCGACAAAACTTTCATTTCTTCGTTTAGATCAACATACGCTGTCTTCTTGGTCGAAAATCTCTCGGAAGAAACAGTTAAGAGCTTGTTCAGTGACATTCCTTCCCCCAAAACCTTCTTCCTCAGTTCATACCTGGCCTTGATTCTGTCATCAAGCTTGTAACCAAGGAATGCCGGAAAGTTCAGTAACTCTCCGACTTCACGACCCATCCCATTTATCAAGTACTCCATCTTCTTCTCCAAAGCAGCATGGCTGTATTGCAGTATCTGAGGATGTTTGGTGCTCATGACAACAATGTCTGAACACGAAAGCCCGTAACTGAAGAACAACCCGACCACCTTTTGCAGATTATCGCAGCTTGTTCTGGTGGCGGATCCCATTGCTGCCGCCAAGTCTTTTGTTCTATGTTTATACCCAATCTTCACTAAAAATGCAAGCTTAAATGCAATGTTGTCTTCAAAAGACAACCCTAGAAACAATGGAGCTTTGACCAAGAACTTGAAGATGTCATTCGAACTCAACCCGCACTGCTTGAGAAAATGAATTCTCGGACGCAATTTCCTCTCCCGACTGGCACTCACCACGTTGGGAAATACAAGCAGAAACCTGAAGATTTGATCGTCAGTTAGGCCGGCATTCGACCTCAACAAATCGACATGGCCTTTCGTGTGATCCACGGTATAGCTCAAGATTGCAGGGAGCTTACCCAACAGAGTCCCCGTGGCCTCATCATCTCCGCCACTAAGCTCCGCCAGGAACCCTACTCTCGGAACCAGCTGAGTCTCCAGATCAAAATTGAGAAGCGTCGGGCGCATTACTATCAAATCAATGCCACCAATGCGGTCGAAGAATGCGATTGTTCTTTCGATTTCTTCAAGTGACTTGAGACACAATGCCTTGTACAGATTAACCTTGTTGAGAATATCAAAAATCTTGTCAACTGGAACTCCGCGGTGAAGAAGCAATCTGACTTTCTGATCAAAACCCACCAAAAATCTTGCTTCTGTTGTTCTCAAAAGCCGCTTCAGCTGCAGCGGCTCGATCTTCCCTTCCAAATCGTCGAGAACAAATTGCAGAAACGGACCTATTTCCTCAGCTGTTAATAGACTTGGGGATTTTATAATCAACTGAGAAAGCACAAGGCCGTCGATTCCAACAGAACGGAAGGAATGAACCCGAGCTCGCAGTGAATCCAAAGATGTCGACGCCACAGCTGGATTCTTGTCCAAAAGCACTCGGCTTTCATCCTCGCCGACCCCAATTTCTTGAAAGAACGAGAACAGCATTCCTGGCACAAGATATAACGATTAAACTCATGCAGGCAATGTGTTTGATAAAAGGCCTCTCAGAGTTGCTTACCTACTTCGGCGAGGACATTGGCAGGGGAGTTCATATAACGGCATTGGAGAAGAAACTGTTGATTTTGACGGAGACCCAGTTGGGTTAACGACGGTTGTCGTTCAAAATTCTGGGCTTTGGTGAACTTCAACGGAGAAAACCATTGACGGGCGCGGAAGATTGAAGGTGAAGGAGGCGAGAAATAAGCGGCGGCCGGCGGAGGAGGAGCTAGTGAGAATGAAAAGAGAGAATCGGAGGAAGAAGAAGCGGGAAAAGGGTGAGTGAACAAAGCGTATACGGCGACCATTTTCCTGATAAAAAAATGGTTTCGTCTCGGCGTTCGGAAAGATTGAGCATTTGTTTACAGTCGGTTTGTGGCTGAGGTGAAGACAATGTCCGGGCCTTACCTACATGGGCCTTTCATACGGCCAGAAATCAATAGTATTATAGGCCCAATAGGCCCAATGATTATCTACATTGAAAGGGAATTCTGTATGGCATTTCCATACACTTGTTTTCTCCCAATGCACAACTCTGGTAATTTCTGGCCTTTCGATTGAATAAATTATACAAGAATGGTAACAAAACAAATACAGGGTGAGGGTCGTAGAAGGAGAAAAGGGGCGCGTGTAATCATTTCCCGTTTTGTATCAATACGATTGTAAAAATTGCAACAAGAAAAACAGACAAATCCTTTTGGGGAAAATAGCTTCTGTTACGACATTTGTAAACACATACAAAAAGTTCACTATTTCACAACATTTTGAATCCCAAGTCAGCATCATCACGGGCACCGCCATCTCGAAGCCCTGTGCGTGACCCGGAACCTCCTACACTCTTTCGGAGAGGGAGATGACACGGTCAACTAAATTTTTATACCGAAAGAAACAATGCCGGTGCCATCGTATTACATTGTTGCATTGCCGGCGGCTAGCTCTTTCTGGTGCAAAACTCTTTTTCCGGTTTCTGGTTCAATCACGCTTTGTATTGTTTTTGGCTGTCCTTGAGAGTCTTTTTATGAAGCTTTCCTCCATTTTTATTGTCTGTAGGAAGGCCTTTTATTAATATAACAGAGGAACCGCCCTTTTTCAAATTTCGCGGTGATCGGTTCAAAGAAAACCTGCATGAAATTCAACAAGAGCACAATAAACACTTAGGTGCGTGCAGGCAGCAACACAGAATATCAAAATCAGATAGTACTTTCAAGTGCACTTGCCCTTTTCTTATATCTTTGGTTTTATTTTCCGGCAGGTGTTTGCCGAATTCTTCCCCTCTGTCATTCAGATTATCTAGGGTGTCATTCTGTGGCTTCTGTCCCTGAACAATGAAGCAAGGGCAACAAACTTACATTTCTTTGTTTCATAATATTATGCACAGCAACTCTACGGCTATGGCATCAAATCACACGCCGTGATTCATACTTATTTACATTAAGCAACAACTGCACACTAAATTCAGAATTGGAACATAAAATCTAATCAATTATTCAGCAAAATACTTGAAATCCAAAACCAGAAGGTGGAGCCGGCTACATCCAAAGCATTTAAGGGGTGCAAAAACAGAAAGATTCAGAGATGCATGCATACTCTCTAGAGAACCCGCAGCATTCTACTTTACACGGCCTTAAATCAGATGAACAAATTATTCACACAAATAGATCAGTTGAAGTGACATCCTTTCCCCTTCGATACTAATAGTTGTTATCAATACAATAACAAAGAGCACGGAGATTAACTGATTAGAACTCCTAATGAACAAAACCCGGAGAGGTTACTCGGGCACAATTCAAGCCTTAAAGTTTTCAATGTTAAACTTATCCAGTGTACCAAATTAATAGAAAAATGGCTAAACCAGGAAAACGGATCAACCATGACTGAAAGTTTAACTAGAAGACTCATATAACTCTGTGAATTATGAACCACGACACATGCAATCACAGTATATGTAGACGAAGAGAAGGCGATGATCATACTAAATCCTAAAATCCAAACAGAAAAACACATGCAATCACAAGCTATAGGTACGAACTATCACACTCGTTAGAGAATAGAGATGACATCACATGTTGCATTTGGAAAGAACCAACGAAGATCTTGCCGCCAAGAGTGCAACATTTTTTGTAACAAAAACAGCATTAAGCAATCGAAGAATCGCAGCGAAAATGCTAGCGCCATCCACACAACCACTTCATTTCCATACCAAACAAATCAACACATGCAATAATTGGTAATCCGATATTCGCATTCGTAGAAAAACAAAGATCACAAAAATTAAGCACAATCGAGAAGGAAATATGAAACCAAATTAGCAAATTAATCAAGACAGAATCTTTGTATCTTACTTGAATGGAGTTGAGAGCTATACATTCATCCACACCAGCTTCAACATCCAACGCGGAAACCGATATCTTAGCTTTCTTCTTGTCAATGTCATCACCAAGGTTTTCCTCAACAACCACTTTCCTCTTATGTCTCCCAAAGCTCCTCCCTTTGACCTTCTTCTCCCTAACTTTCCACACATTCTTCCTCCTAAACACCAACTTCTCCGTCTTCCAAACCGCGCAGCTCGTATCAATCACCGTCACTTCGCTCCTCGAATACCCTTTCATCTCCCCCTTCTCTTCCTCCTCCTCATCCTCCTCCCCCTCACATTGCCCACCAACCTCATTCCCTCCTAGTTCCTTCTTTTTCTTCTTCCCCACCAAGCTGTTGTTATCCGACGCCACCTTGTCGAGGGCATTTTCGATATTTCCTTCACTTTCCGAGCTCTTCTCCTCCGCTGCATTCGCAGTGGCGGTGGCGTCGCCGTTAGAGTTGGTCGTGGAACCGACACAGACTCTGGGGTTTGCTTGCTTTCTAGGAATCTTTTTCCCGGAAAGTCTGGAACTTTCGTCGGCGCCGCCCATGAAAAATAGCTCCGATAGAACGTTGCTCATCATTCCGATGATTCCCCCTCCCTGTTCGTCTCCGTTCGGACACGAGGATTCGGAGCGATTCCCGACACGGTCCGAATCCGGCCGAGTCGAATCCGTGGACGATGAGACGACATTGGGAGCAGGGAATTCAGAGAGAGAGTTTGCGTTTCGGGTAAGGAAGTGGTCGAGGTCGGAATTGTCGGCGGTCGGGAATCCCTTATTGGACCGGAGCCGGTTCAGCCAGTTCGAACCGGACTTGGTGGCGGGCACCGAACAGAGCATTGCTGAGGTGGACGGATCTGATTGGCCAGGTGGATAGAGCTCGATGGGCTTCGACGCCGACAATTGCAGGCGGAGAAGGAGAGAAATTAGGTTTTCTGAGTTCGAATTTGAAAGCTTGAAACTTGAAACGACCCAGAGAAGCTCCGCGGTCTGTTTCGTGTTACGTGGTGGTGGGTGAAGTTGCTTTTACTTTTTACTATCAAGCATGAAACACGTGGGTTTTGTAAGTACTATTTCGATATCTCATGGAAGTTTTAATTTTAGTTTCTCTAACATTACTCATTTTAATAAAACTGTCACTTAAATTGGTGAGTCTGAAATACGGACACATATATTATATATTCTTGATTTGATCTCATTTTGTTAGATTTGTAGACACATGCTATTGTCCAAAAGTCATTCGACCTCTAAAGACGTGACAAGTAAATCTTTCATCCAAACATATATATACATGAGCATCATACACAAGGAGTCAATGGAGGGAATGGGTGAGACCAAATTAGGGTGCTTTATGTATGTAAATGAACAACTATGTGTTCCGATCATCTGCACTCGATAATTTCTCCTAAACTCAGTACACATTGATCAAATAGATTATTAGACTCTATTTAGCAATACTACCTCAAAGTTCAAGTAAGCCCAAAAAAGAGACCAATATATTTAGGATCTCTCATTCCAAAATTCAAAGAAAAAAAAAAAGAAAAAAAAGAAAAAAAAAAGGGCTTTCATCCTTTTCATCTCTCAAAAGTAACAGGAACATTATCGGGTGGGCCCAAAGCATAATGATTTGCGATCGAAGAGCAACTTATATGATACAGATTTACCGTCACGTGACACCTTAATTTAAGAATATAATGTCATGTAAGGAAAAACTTACTGACACACCTCGACCCAGAATATCCACTTGGACTCCGAATCAAGTTGTGCTGGCCGACACCTGAAGGATGACGAAGCCATAAAGTGTAGTGTAGTGGAAAAATACAAATAAATTTAAAACCTACAAGTGCCTAATTAAAAGAGTGCGTGGGATTAAACTCATTTCATACGTGATGGCAGAGCATAAGAACAACACAGTAATTAGGGTGAGGGTTATGCCAATGAAGATAACCATCTCCTGAGATTTGCCAAAATCCTCGTTTACACGTAAGCACAACTATTAAACCTAGAGGGGAAAAACAAAGTTAAGTGGGTCAGAAAATAGTAAAAACTTTTTCAAAAACATTATAATCCCTCGCCATAAAATCAAGTATAGTTTCCAAAATATATACGTACTACATATAGTAAGAAAATATTTACCGTAGCCTGCAAAGTCTCAAGAAATCAATAAGGCACAACTATAATAATTAAGCACAAGGTGACCAATATAACATAACCTTGTAATATGTAAACATAACATAACAAATGCTCATCGACACATGCTGACACACGAGTCGGAGTTGGCTAATGCAACCTGTACGATAGGACTGGGTGTAATAAATGTGCTCTAGTACTACAATCACGTGAAGGTTGGTGCCGAAGCGCGATCACATACGAGTCGAAATTGCCTAATGCAATTTGTATGACAAGACTGGCACTTAACTTGGATCTAAGGCGAACAAACGGTGTGGATGTGAACATACACGTGAAAGATTGGCCCTGACCCTAGGCGAAGTACTAACTCCGGGGTGCATCAATGATGAGTAGATGACATAAATAAAATCATGCCACAAAGATTTGATAACTCTAATCAACGTAGTAATAATCACATATGTAAATATAATATCATGGTATCTCGTGTATACCTGTGAACCTATAGGGCGCAGAATAATTCCCTAGGTTCAGTCATTTCACTACTTCATGTAATTTTAGTCTAAGCAAGGCATACGTAGTAAATTCTTTTCAAAGTATAACCGGAAACTAGCAAGTACGCGTATACTTACAAAAAGAAATGACCCACTCACAATTACGCAGTCGAAACGAAGCCTCTAAGCCTTGCTTGACCCCGTACATCCTCGGGATACGTTTCCCCTATATGTGAAATTACTAATTAACTTAGTTTAATAACACATAAATGGAAACTTAAATAAAACCTCCGTAGATTGCTCAAACATAGGGTTTGAATATACGAAGTCGATCTACTCGACGTCATGGACCTACACAAATTGACAGAAAGCCAATCGGAGGTCGAACTTGCCACCACGCACTAGCTACGGCACGACCATACATGCCACCACGCTCAGGCGAGACTCTGACGTTCATTAGGAATATTTTGTCAGTTTGACAAAATATTTTGTTAAATAATTAACAGAGTTTAACGGCGTTACCTGACGCCGTTAGAATATTCCATCAACTTTGATGGAATATTCCGTCGTCTTCTCCTCCTTGCTGGTCACCGTCATGCGCCGCCTTCTGAACTCGTCGGAATCTAGAAATTTTCGCCGGTTTCTGGATAAAATTTCAAACCTTCATATCTTATTCATTTCTCAACCATTTTCACAAAATTTAGATGGAAATGAAGCTTATGAAGTGTAGAATCAGTTACCTTTTTAGAAGTCCAAAAATGGACGGGAAAAGACCTGAAATTGGCTTGATAATCTCGGTTTAAACTCGACCCCTCGAAACTCGTCTGTTTCAACATCAATTCTTCCTCAAACCTTCACCAAAGACTTCAAGGAGTAGAATGGAGCCCTTTAGACTTCCTAAAAACTCGTAACTCGTTCGCAACTCCTTAGGGAAAAACTGAACCAAGTCGAGCCTTCTGCGTTTGACGTCCAAAACTCAATCAAACCATGATCCAAGGGTACGGTTGTGTTCATGGTGGTGAGATGAGTTCGATGGTGTGGTTTTCAGGTCACGTTTGTAAGGTTTGGTGTCTGTTTGAGGGAGTTGCAGAGTGAGAGAGGTTTCGAGTTTGAGAGAGACAAGGAGAAGAGAAAGAGAGAGAAATGGTGCTCTCTGATTAGGTGAAGGGTTTGATGGTGATGATCTAATTGGTTGCTTTCAAATGAGGGGAAGCAATTGATTGGGAGGTGAAGAGGAATTCAAGGAAAATGCAAAAGTTTGATTGGTGGTTTGTGTGAAGAAAGGGGGACCGGATCCACCAATTAGGGAAGGGATGGGTGGATTTTGTACAATTTTTAATGTACAAAATCTGCTTCCCTACAATGTTTCAAACACTGATAATTTGTACGCGTGTGTACAAAAATACCCGTAACTAACGTACTTTAATGAAGCGTAACTTTTTTGTTACAGATCCAATTCGAGTCTAACACGTGCTCACACGTTCGTAGCAACGAGTACTAATTTAGTACGAAACCAGGAAAATGAAACTGAAAGCCGAAAACCACGTCCACGTCAGATTCCACTTTTGTCCAAAAAGGGTAAAATTGTCAACTCACACCAACAGAAAAAGAAATCACAGTGAAAAGTAGGGATAGGTCGTCACACTTACGCACATCATTTTTATCGAAATGGAAAGCCAATATCACAATAAACTCATTTCATATAAGTCTTTCTCCTAAAACTAACCAAATTCACATCTTATTAACTTGCACAAATTGGAAGCAAAATTGGTGGCAATGGATCGTCTCTTGTTCACTTGTTTATGTCTTACGTTTGTGTTAACCCACGTATTGATCAACATGTAAAATTATATAATAATAATAATAATTTAACACAATTGATTTGTATTTATTATATACACATCAGGTTATTTATTCGTACTTCGAGCCGTATAATGTGTTGCGTTCGTAATTGCCACCCGAAATTTGATCATTTATAGTTTTATACCAACTACGATTCGCCTAACAAGAAATTGATCACACGGCATACAATAAGTAGCCTAAATACTGGTTATACAACCCTACATACTTGGCGTCAAATAATCAATCATTCACTTCACAGTTAACAAACTTCACATCATATTTACTATTACAGACAAAAATATGAGAAGACAAGTGGTTGAGCGTCAACAGGACAGAGTTAGAAATTTCTTCTAATGGGACAACTTGAAAATCAATTAAGAAAAACTTATTACAGTATAGCTTATACCCAGTATGATAATAGAGATGATTTCAAATGATGATGTATCACAATTCTAATGTTACAAAAATTTCAGTATAGTAGTGGAAAGTGGCAGAGTGATAAGAAAAATATTAATACATGATTACGCAGGAGAGAGGTTTTTCGGTTTTAATGATAGAACAAAAGCACTTTTGCACATGTAATAATTGATATGAACTATATGCAGTATAAATGTATGTTGGACATTAGATACCTATATTTTCTTTAAGGGAAAATTTGAGATAGGTCCAATTTTATAGGCCACATCTTTTGAAATAAATCCAATTTTTAGTAACTTTTGACTTTTGAAATAGATCCAATTTTTAGTTACTTTGAACCCATATCAAAAGACCATTTTCTTTAAAGATAACATATATGTATTCTATAATTGTAGTCGGTAACTTAACAAACTAATCACTTGAGTGGGGCATATGCCCCGTGAGCCTTCATTAGCTCCTTCCATGAGCGTGAATTCTAACAGTTTGCCCCCCAAAATCCAAAAATAGTCAAAGAAGATGATGCCGTCGCCACAACTTAAACGACAAGAACAAATTTTTAAAAGGGTTTAAGCCAACGTTAAATCCAAGAAAATTTGAAGAGCCGCTTGCAGTGGCAGGAAGGCAAAGATATGTGCTCGGAAATTCGTATGTAGAACGACGAACGTACGATTTTTGGAGTTTTTTTTTTTGTGTTCTTTTTCCTTCTGATAATTCTTCTATTTTTTGCTGCTTCTATTTTTGTTTTTCCTCGTTTTTCTCCTGCAATTCTCAGTGTATGCCATTGAAACGACGCCGTCACATGAACCCTGAATTCCTCCTTCCCGCCTCTCAATAACTTTCCCTGATTTTCCACCTACTGTTTTATGATATCTCCTTCTGGGGTTGATCTTTTTCTTCCAAAGTTTCAAGCTTTATGCATTTTTTTTGGTTTATATCTATCGGCAGCAAAAAACCAACTCGATAAAATCTTTCAAAAAAGTATGCAGCTTTCTGTTTAGTTTCTTTTTCTCTGGTATTTCTTCTTGGTGGGGTTTCCTAGGTTTCGTAGGTTGTTGTTGTTATGTATGGATTTTATGGAGGTTTTGTCTAGATTGTCCTAGGTATTGGAGAGAGTGGAAACACCAACAGATACTACAATGGAGGTCGCAGGTTTGGATTTGATGGTGCTTCTGGGTATTTCGATGGCATTTTTTATTGGAGTTTTGATCGGATGGTCGTGGAAACCAAAGTGGGCATTCTCTGGCAATGACAAGGACAAACTAGGCTGCCCTGTGCCTAAAGCTTTTGATTTTTCGCAGCCTTCTTCGCCGCCCCGGTCCCCTTTAAAGGGGTTTTCGTCAGCTCCATGCTTGAATTGTTTTGAGTCATTGGTTTCCCAAGGTTGTGAAGCTTGCTGCATGGGTAAGGGAATTCAGAAAACTACTTCTGTATCGCCTCCGGCTACCGAATTCGATGAGGGCAGCAGGTACTTGGTATTTGTCAGAACATACTTTTGTTACCATGCTATTACAATTGTTTGTTATTACTTTTACTGTTGGGCGTCTTTGATGTCTTGTAGACGTTTTGATGTACGGTTGAAGTTTATCTAATAAATATCGTTTACTATAAAAAAAGGAAAATGGTCTTGAAGTTTCTAGTCTTGATTGGATAGATTTTGTATGAGGTGAAAATACTCACTAATTGAATGTACTTATCCAGCACATCGCAGCTGAATGACGAGAAGCCGAAAGTAGTGACTGAGGAGGATTTAGAGGTTTTATCCGAGCTTGTAGATATGAAAGATGGAGGTCCTCGATGGATACAGATGATGGATCGCTCCACCCCAACTATGACCTACCAAGGCTGGCGTAGGGATCCAAAGGTAATGGTTTTCCCTTAACTTTTGCTTTCTTGGCCAACCGCTAATTTGTTGAGCTCTTTGATTTTACCATTCAATTTTCACAATGTTTTGTTGTATTCTTCTTGTTGGGGATTCGATAGGTCGGTCCTCCTCAATATCGTAGCAGAACTGTCTATGAGGATGCAACGCCGGAATTAGTGAGGGACTTCTTCTGGGATGACGAGTTTCGACTAAGGTGGGATGACATGCTTAGTTATGCGAAAACCATAGAAGAATGCCCGACCACAGGAACCATGGTGACGCAGTGGATTAAGAAGGTAAGGCTTCCCTTTTGTATGTTCTAACTGGTTGATTCTCCCTTGCATATTCTTTATCTCTGCCATGCCTTCCGTTCTGCAGTTCCCGTTTTTCTGTAAAGACAGAGAATACATCATAGGTCGTCGAATTTGGGAATCTGGGAGGTTGTATTATTGCGTGACAAAGGTAAGCGGAGTGGATTTTTTTTTTTTTATTCATCGATGCACTCTTGTTACACTCCTTTGATGACACATTGTTTGTACACCGGATATAAATTGACAAATCGAACTAAAAGATAGCAGCACTTTCTCAATTGTTGTTTGATGAAATATAAGAAGCTTTCTGTCTTTCATGTTTCAGGGAGTGCCCTATGCTTCTGTTCCAAGACATGACAAGCAAGTACGCGTAGATCTGTACTTCTCAAGTTGGTGCATTCAAGCAGGTAAGTTCTGCCAATCTTTGATCTGTTTTCATCAAGATAATATGTTTATATTCGGCTTGTGACTATGTTAGAGTCGATAGAGCTGTTCAATCTGTAATAAAGTGACATTTTTTGTACATGACCAGTGGAATCAAGAAGGGCTGAGGGCCAGCTGACTGCATGTGAGGTTATATTCTTACATTACGAAGATATGGGACTCCCATGGGAAATTGTAAAACTTGGATTACGAAAAGGGATGTGGGATACAGTCAAGAAGATTGAGGCTGGCTTACGTGCCTACCAGAAGGAAAGAGCAGCAGGATCACCACTTTCCCGGCCAGCCTTTATGGCTCAGATCAACACGAAAATACATCCCGGGTACCTGAAATCCTCAGGAGCCACAGAAGACTCATCAAAAACTGAGGTGGTGATTGCATCCAAGAAGCCTGCGGGTAGGCACATACCCAAGCTCTTAATAGTTGGGGGGGCAATAATCATTGCTTGCACTCTTAATAGGGGACACCTGATGAAGGCGGTGATATTTGGGGTAGGCAGAAAGCTTGCGAAGGTAGGAAAGAAATTGCAAACAAAGAGTGATCGAGATTCAAGTTGATCCTAACCAAGAACATTGGCTGGTATTTGGTAAATGATCCTGAATAAAACCTTTTACCTATTGCTCAACGGGAAAGAAACAATGAAAGATTGCTTTTCGGTTGAATAAACAATGTAACTGTTACGTTTGAGTTGTATCCAGAAAACAGAGATATTTTGTTGTACATAAACTTAACAGATTGTTTTGAAGTTTCCAGCAGGCTGATGAATTTAGGGAGTTCAGCATGTGTATCTTAGATGATGAGGAGATATAATAATACCTAGCTATTGCTCTTGATTTCTTTTTCTTTGATATTGCAGGAAAATTTAAAATATTGGATGATAAGTAGACCGATCATATTTTATATTGGATGAAATATGAACGGAGGGAAGATATAGCAAGAGCTGAAAGATTCAGTCATGTGTTGCTACGATTCATTAAGTAAATTAAGAGCCTGAAGGAGCAGATACTCATGCTTTCGCACAGGGTTTAGGGGTGCTAACGACCGACCAAGGTTTCAAAGGAGTCTAATCCGTCAAATTGGGGTGCCAATTTTGGCGTCTGAGTGGTGTTCACCTTGGCCTTCGCTTTTGCTACAACATCTTGGATGGTTGCTCGAATCCCAGCTCCGAGTTCCTGCTTCAAGAACTTTCAAATATCAGCTGGCGAAAGCATCAATAACGGAAATATTAGTAGAGAGGTGGACTAACCTTTGGTTGGTAATGGTTTTTGTCGAGGAAATATATCCCGGTTGCGGCAGCAACTAGAAAAGGCATCGACACATACACAGCCATTGAAGCCTGAGAAGAAATAATTGTTCTTTAGGTGTTGGTGGATCGGTGATGATAAATTTGTGGGTAAATATGTATAGGTTTTAAGTGTGAATAGAGAGAGAAAAGGTGACGAAAGAGAGGCGGGAGAGAGAGTAAAGCGAAGGAATGCGAGATGCCTTGGTGGTCAGGACAAGTAAAGATTGTTGTCAAAAGAATGGAAGGTGGGGAAAATATAAAAGAAGCTGTGAAAGAGGGTAAAGTGAGGAAAAAGTAAAGACCCAATGTCATGATCAATATTCACAAGTAGGTAATTCCAACCAACAAGGCTCTCACCCTTGAAAGGGTCGAGGAGAAGATGAACGTCTATTGTACATAGTTTTACCTTTATTTTGCAAAGAGGTTGTAATCATGATTCGAACCCCATGACCTTTCAGTCAACAAAAGAGTAACTATTTCGTTGTACCAAAGAGGGAACTATTCACTAGTGATCTACATAAATAATTCTACTTCTGGTTCCATATAAATATACATGTAATTAATGAACGGCTTGTTTCAAAATTGTTTTTATATGACTAAATGCGCTTTTAAAGAAAATGTTTTCAAAATTAATCCTTAACAAAAATGCAAGTTAATCATAAAATATTACTTGAAGTGTTTCCTGCAAGAAACACATAACTGGTGTTTTTGGAAGGAAAAATATCTTCACTAAAAATGCTCATTCATTTAAAATCTTCCAAAATTAACTAACCCTGACTTAACGTAATGATCCGATTCGATTAATCTGATTCTTGATGAGGTTAGCTTTTGGAGTGTTACATGGGTTAAAGTAGAAGAGTCGGTGACCCCGCCACTATCGTACGTGCCGCCGACCACATCCAAATCCACATGCATCCGATTCTTTCCATGGTCTAAGCAACTTTGGACTTGCAGACTTTAATTAATTCATTAAACTTTCAAAATTATGATTTTAATAATATTACGTTGGCAATTTTGTAGTGCATACATTGATTAATCATTACGTTACAAACGATGATTCCAACTTTTCTTGTGCAAAGCCACAACAAAAAGACAACCTGCACAGACAGCGACAGATTTGATTTGGATTTAGTAAGGAAGAATGGTTTCGAAACAGTGCACCCCATCAAGTTCCGGCGCGAACCTCGGCAGTGTTAACGGCATCATCCTCCGCTGCCGTCCTTGCTGCTGCTTCTGCTGCTGTGCTTGTTTACCACCGGGCTCTGCCGCCGCTGCTGAATTATTGCAAGTATCTTCCTCGGCCTTGGGCTTCCCGTCCTTGGAGAAGCTCCATCCCAGCTTCTGAATCGTATCCAAGGACATCATCGTACGTCGCTGTCACCTTGAACAACAAAATCTACGGCCCTGATCTGATTCTTGACTTATTTGAAGCAAAGAAACGAGTAGAATCGGGTACTTAAAGGTATCAGGGAAGGGAGAGCAGAAGAGAGAGAGCCGACAAGAAGGTTGGTGGGAATTAGGAGGACGTTTGGTACAAGTTGCCACGTGCATGGCTCAAATCGCATTTGTTCGGTCTAACATGTTGTGGTTACACACAATGAAGTTGTGTCTATCTCAGGATTCTCTCCCTCTCCTAATCTATTTCTCCTCCCCTTCCCTCCTAATTTAAGCCATATCTATATCTTATATTGAATTTTAATTGACAAAAAGTAATGTGTGAAAAGAGGGGAGAAAGGGAGAGACTACTCCATCTATGTGCATATCTAATGACTTCTGAATGATGTCGTGTCCAAATCCTAATGACTTCTGGATGAGAGTCGTACGTACCAGAAATGCTAACCACATATCATTATTTATTAAGAGTAATGCTAGAAAATTAAATTTGTAAACTAAATTTGCAAACTAAATGACATGTCATGAATAAGAAATAAACACGTTAATTAACAGTTAAGCAATAATTCAATCATCAATTTCCATGTTATTTAGTTTACAAAATTTAGTCTCCCTAACATGTGTTATCCATGATCATGACCATTAACCACTTCACCGCATTTCTATCCCCACGCCACGTGATCATATCAATCAATGATGATGACACGAATCTAAATTATGAATAATCTACCTTAAGGTTGGTTTGGGGTTGTTCAATTTTTTTAAAAGCAGATTCTTAAAAAACTTAGAGCTAAAATTGTGCTTGGCAAAAGTTTTTTTTTTTTTCTTTCAAAATCATGAGTTTAGCAAAAAACAGAAGTAACTCTAATCATGCTTCTCAAAAAAGTGCTTTTTTATATAAGGCGGGTAAACAGTAATCTTTAATGAAACTTTCATATTGATATAATACCCCGTCTATTGCTAAATATTACCAAACACTTACTTGCATAGCAATCCTAAACTAGTCCTTAGATCTATGACATATCAACAACATCGGTCCAACTATATTTTAAGACTGAGATTCTCAAACTCTATTTTCTCTATCATAAGAAAGTACAATTATCTACTTAACACTACAATTTACTGATATTTTCTTCACTTGTACGTGGGAAATCTTAGATTTTTTTTAACATGGCATGTTTCTCGCATTCAACAAACCAATGGCCACTCGCTCCACAATAATCACAATCCTTCAAAACAGTCTTCACCACGCACACCAAAGTGGCTACCAACACCGCCGCCACATTCCGTACAAATAACGTCGTAGCCAGAGCCAACGCTAGCGCCCTGGGTACGGGCAGTCGCAATCGAAGTAGCGGGCACAATATCAGCAACCGGAAATCATCCCTTGACAAAGTTGGGCAGCGGCTATTATGCTCTCTTGCTGAGAAAAGCAAACGAGGAAGATGTCGAAAATTCGAAATTCATTTGCAAGGAGGCAACAACGTACAACGTCATGTTTATGTTGCAGGCTTTTCAAGGAGTTTCTGGAAAACTTGAACGTTCTCAATTAATGTACGTCAATTTAGCTCTTTCGCGATCAGGCAAATAAAACCGCAAAGGAAATCAACTCCGAGAACAAACACTTTGGATAAGAATTTTTCTCAGTTTCAAACTAAAATTTGGAATAGAATTGTTCATGGAATTGCCTAAGGTAAAAAAGAACGCAACGGTTAAGACAATCTCTAATCGAACAAGCTGAATACCATTTCATCATCGCGCTCTTCCTCGGCTTCTTCCTGCAAATACAGAACCGGAGAACTTAGATAACAAGATCAATGTAACATCAAACTCGAATTCAAAGGTAGCATGCAGGTTAGATTCTGGATAAAATCTAAGCGGAGACGAAATTCTCACCTTCTTCTCCTCGACTGCAGGAACAGCGGCGCTGGTAGCACCACCTGCACCAGCAGCAGAAGGGGGCACGGCTACTGGAGGTGAACCACCGGTTGCGCAAGCATTCAAAAAAAGGTCCTCGAGGTTCCTCTTTTCTGCGAGCTTGGCAAAGAGGCCAGGCCAGCATGACTCCACCGACACATTAGCAGATTTCACCAAGGCGCCGATCTTCTCAGCCTATTTAAATCCAGCGTAAAACAAATTTATAAACGAAAGAAACTCGAAAACCTACGTCCTAAGTAAAATATAAACTGCACAAATAAATATATAGATAAAATTATAAGGTGTATATATATTCGTAAAAAGGAAGAAATGAGGAGCAGTACTTACAGTGACTGAGACGCCATCGTCCTGAAGGATCATGGCGGCGTAGGAGCAAGCAAGCTCGGCGGTCGACATTGTATCGAAAGACTGGGTGGCACAACGCACAAGCAAAGGAAACCATGGAGGAAACTAGGGTTTTGGAAATGGGGTTTTGTATAGGAATTTATCACGGTTTTTTAAATAATTATGTACCACGGCAATTGTCAACAGGACCAATTTTCTTTTTACTTTCTATGGGGGCACAATTTTCACGTAATAATGCAATCAGGTAATCAGATGCGGCTACAATGATATAAGTGTTTTAGCCGGTAAATTTAATTTTCACAATTGATTAAATCTTCTATTTTTAATCAATCATTCAATATTACGTAGTACTTCAGAAATACTTCCAATAATCAAGATAATTAGTTAATTAGCTCTGTTTTGAAACTGCTTTTGAAGGAGCCAAAAGCGCTTTCTAACAAGTGTTTCTTATAAACACATGTAATAGGCATAAAGCTCAAGAGCTTAAAAGCATTTGCACCAACAGGGGTACCAGGTTCAAATTCACCTTCCCACTGTCGCTCGAATAAAAAAATCCGTAAAAAAACCACCCGTATAATGTAACTTTTTTCTCCTCTAGATGTCCCAAGTTTGAATTCCATCTTCCCGTATTAAAACACAAAAAAGCATGCAACCATCGATAAAGCGTAAGTAAATAGCAACCGAGTTGCGAGTCCAAAATGGTAAGAGCTTAAAAGGTACATGTAGCATCACAACCTCCATAACCAATAGATCTTTGTTTTGCTTTGGGCGCACACAATCAAAACAACCAAGCAACAGAAAATCTGACGACATAACCTTGGGGAAGATGTCCCGAAACAGACCAAGTATTCTCGACAACATTACGCCTCCATTAAATGTAAAATCACTAAGCATTATAAAAACCACATACTGGCCACAATAAGGACAACTAAGGTTCTTAAACGTGACATTTTCAACAAGTCGGACGTAACAAATCCTCGCATCTAACACCAAGGAAGCCGTGAAGATGACTTGCCAGAGAATCAGGCACTACCCAACCGCGCCTGAAAACAGATCAAGTTCAAAGTAAGCATCAAGGATATCACATAAATGTTGCCATGTCTCAATAATGCGGCAAGCTTTCAAATTCATAAAGCTTGATAAAAGCATAAACGATTTTTCTTTTATTTATCATTTTTTCCATTTCTCTATGCACTTTGCTTCCAACTAGCTGTTGGTGTGGCGTATTTCTTTCACATTTGCTTCCATGGGTCTGAGTGCATCTCGCACCAACAGCTAGTTGCTCTAGGTCATTCTGTGAATCCTATTATCCTATCCCCAACCAAAAATATCCTCCAAAAATCTGCTTATGTTTTTCAGATTACGTGCAAGTTTTTAAATATCACCTTTCTATGTTATGTGCCACCAATAGCTAGTTGCTCCAGGTCATTTCTAAAAATTCTATTACCCTACGGTCCTACCCCGAACCAAAAATATCCTGCAAAATCTGCTTTTGTTTTTCAGATTACACTTTCAAGTTTATAAATATCGCCTTCCTATGTTATGTGCCACACAAACTAGTTTTATCAGAGCAAGATTCCACTTACAGGACGAGGTGATTCTGACCTTGACCTTGACCTTGATATTGATCTTGGCCTGCAATAATATAGACATGCATTAAATATCATAAACAAAAACAAGAATTAAAGGACCAGAACCACCTAGTGGAAAATGTATAACAAAGCCAAATACCTGGAAGATTTAACAGGAGATGGAGACCTAGATCTTGATACTGATCTTGATACCGATTTTGATACAGATCGCTCCAACGACTTGCTGCATAATACAGAATAACTCCCAAGATGTGGCACACATGGAAGCAAGAAAAACAGAGAAAAATAATGATAAAGGATAATAAATAAAAGAACTGGGACGGCTCCGGTACCTCCGATCCCTTCTTACACTCCGGCTTCTGCTACGACTTCTACTGCGGCTCCTTGAGGGGCTCCTATCGTAATATTTAACCTGTTCAGTTGATGCACAAACAACATGACAATGTTCTTACAGTGCACCTATGTCCAGCTGTCAGCATCATTAGTGTAATGCTTAAGCACATAAACTACTCTAGACCTCTCAAAAGACTTATTCCAGGATTACAAAGAAATATATTTGACACAAAAATCATGGATTTACGATGGTCTAGGAAGCATAGAAACAGCTATCCCAAAGAGAGGATATATAAGAAAACTTCCATAAACATAAAAGTTACCCGAATATGAGTTCTTGCCCAAGGATTTTTAAATTCAGTGTCATCAAGCTTCCGGATCTGAAAAGGAAAGAGAAAAACCAAGTGAATTAGCGTTCAGCTTAATGGCAGGTAAAGGTCCTGTATTTCAACAACTCACAGCATATTTCATGTCATCAGAATTGGTATAATCAACTAAGCCATAAGTCCCTGCATACAAACAACAATACCATTTGGTGAGAAGATACAAATTTCAAAGCATATCAATTCAGGACCAAGATCAGCTGCATGGTAATCAGAGCTTAAGTAATGTCCATCTTCGATAAAGTAATATGCTCTTGGGACCGTAGACATTTTATTCTCTGATCCTTATATCTATACCTTCACTGTCACGAGAAACCTCAGCAAAACACACATCACCAGCTCTACGCATATGATCCTGAAATCAACAACCAGTTAGGACACCAATATTGCAGACATTATTTGAAAACAAAATTGTGACTAAGAGTTTCCACACCTTCAAGTCTTGCCAAGAGGCAGAAGAAGGGAGATTACGAACAATAACTGGACAAAATGAAATTATGAGTCAAGCAATAAACAACGATTAAGAAAAATATAACTGAACATTACTTAGACAATTGCAAAGCATGTTTAACTCATTTAGTAATGTACCATCCTAGAAAACACACCTCGATACTCAGAATGACGTGAAACGCCAAACCGACCCCCACCACTGCCTCGGTCATATCCACTACGACGATCACTTGAAGATGGTCCCCTACCACCATGGGCAAGTTCAACCTGTATTGAGATTAAAGGAGACATCAATAAATGAAGCAACCAAAGACATGAAAGAACAAACATATTGTTTTAGTAAGCCTAGGGATCTTTTAGTACCCTTAAACGGCAACCATCAAAGTTATACCCATCACGCCCTCTTATTGCATCTTCTGCATCCCGAGAACTTTCAAACTAAAAACCAAACACACGCAGAGATTACTAGCAATCATATAACAGGTGGTGGCCAACCACACACAGAGTAATCCATAAGAGAACCAACCGGGTCCAAATGCATGCATCAAACCATTATAAGTACCTCAACAAACGAAAAACATGGAGGACGTGGTGGAATCTTCAGTTCAATATCCACTATGCGGCCATACTGCAAGAGTAAATCCATTTTAGAATGATTTACTACCTTAACCATTCCTCACCACAAACAAAACAAAAATACTATCATATAACATCTTTTCTATAGGAAGCATTAGAAAGATATGTGTTTTATATTGTTCTATATTATAACACTATTATCAATTAACAACTTTTTACATCAACGAATCAGATGAATAGCACAAGAATATGATGAAAATAAAGTGCAAGAACTAAACTAATTTTTTAATTTTCAACAAAAACTGATACTGCATATCATACATATACATTGAGCAATGTGTTGTTAAGTACATTAAGCATGGAAGTCACTGAATGTACTTTCATATGCATCAGAAACTGGACATAATTCAAAACACCATGATGAAATGCACTGGTAATGCTAAAATACAAAAAAGAAGCGAAATTCTATGGAAAATTTTGATGCAAACCTTGTAGAATAGATCTTCAACCTCCCATTCTTTTATATCTGAGGGAAGGTTGCCAACATAGATTGTGCGAGAAAATCGCCCACTCATTTTTGACACCAGAAGATTCCGGCTCAAAACTTTTTACTGCATTAAAAAAAACAATTCCGATAAATGTTTTGTCCAACAATTTGAAAATAGAATAACACTACAACTTCAGTGTCCAATTATCATCTGCATACACTCTGTTGACAATATCAAAAGAAAAACAAAACCAAACTATGAAGCAAACCAAGAGAGCAATCCTCGAGGTGAGCCGTGCTCCACAAGCTCCATTGCTCATTTGCTCCAAAAGTGCTCCAAAGCATTATTTATATTGAAATAAAATTGGATCTCCTCATCCTCTCCAGAATTTTAGCAGATGTATAGATCTTCTGAGAGTGAGCAAGAATCTCCCATAATAAAAATAATACCCATAAGTCCAAAATGATTTCTCCCACTCCCTCTCTATATCCCTATGTACGATTGCAAAGCTCATATTTGTCCAAGCGCTTGCCATCTATCATAAAGAAAGCATCTGTGTTATGAGATCAGGCAAGACTGACATATATTTATGAATTTACCTTACTCAGCCCTCTTTAACAAAATTGAAAAACAAAAAAAATGAAAACCCTGGAAAATTAATTCATATCCCTTAGTTAACTCACTTTCACTAACTCTTGCAGAGTTGCATAAATATATACCATATCCAGGGTAGGGGATCGAGATATGAGTCTGTAGGCTCACGTAATTGATAAATCATATAACTACATTCTGAATTTTATCATGGAAAAGCTTGTGAAATGTTGCACTTTCCAAGCTTAATGGATTCTGTTTCTTAACCCAACTTCTCATTAAATTACATGTAGGACATGAAAAGGGTGTAAAATTCTTCCAGCGTAACCAAAGAAAATTTACAAGCTGTACTAGTTGAAGCAATAATAGGGAAGTCCATCATCCTGATTGATGCTCCAATCTGAAAAATTCAAAACAATACATAACCCCGGGAAAGGCAAGAAGGATATAATATTGTATTGCATGCATGGGAATAAGTGAATAAGATGAAACTCATTAATCAAACAATAACACTTTACCTAGAAATGTAAAGAACCCTGCTCGGTAGAAGTTCCCTAAATCTATCACCCATAGTTGCTGAACCTACAAGGTATTTGTCTAATATCTACTCCCACAATTACTGTCTGAGACCAGTAAATGAGGCGACGATATGAACAATATCTCCTTCCACCTCACATCCAAGTGTCCTCGGGATAAACACCAACCCAGCACCGAACCCCTTGTCCTAGTCTTATGTTTGGTAAGCCATAATAAAGTAACCTAGATAAAGCAAAAGCTATTCAATATTTCAAAAATAATCTATGGGTTGACCACTTATATAATTACATGTAAAAAAAACAAAATGAAGTCACTTCGGAACAGTACAGCAACATTGGTAACAGAAATCATAAATACTTTTTTGATGTCTTTCAATATCAAAGACAAAAGAAAGAGTCCAGGAGGTAAATACCAATTGTAAATCGAGATTCCTACATATCAAAAACCCACTTACAACAGCAATCAAGTTTCAAACTTTACTATACTTTACTCCATGTCAGGTATTGTATGCAATAGTCAGAGAAACATACCACAAAATGATATCAAATTCAAAACCCATAAATAATCAAAGATTCAAAACCTATTGGTCGCAGAAAACCTGAAACACAATTGCGCACAGTTTCAACAAACAAGACATGAATCGAACCAATGAACAATGACAGCGCCTACGAAACCCTAGACATACAGTATAATTAATCCCACAAAACCCCCCAAATTAAAAACCCTAATTGCACTAATGCGAACAGAAAGAAATAGATGGGGAAACAGGACGAGTATCAAACCGGGAATTGATTGGAGAGCTTGAGAGCTGGCGAGCGTGCGAAGTAGCCGAAGAGCTTGAGATGTGATCGCTAGGGTTCCGCTTTTGCTGCGTCGAGAAACGAGATGGAGAAAATTGGGCTTATACAGTAAACTGCAAGAGAGAGAAAAACTGAGGTCGATTTTCTGATTTAGTTGGTCGGTGTGGTAATCAAGTAATTATGTGAGTATATTGGGCCTGATATCAACTTTCGGCTTTGGGCCTGATAGCAAAATTATAATGTTGGCCCTAATTTCAGGATCAACTTGCAAGTGACCTTACAGTGGTGGAAAAGTGTTGAACCCTTATATGACAGAGTGGGTTTAAATCCCGTTGGTGACTAGTCTAATGTCTAATCTAATAAAATCCATCGTTTGAAGAAAAAAAATTTAAAGATCAACTTGGGTGAAGGACCTTGGGCCTTAAAATGAGATAAATTGTGTGACCCAAAACTAAGATCCAGTTTGAAATGCTTATCTGATAAGCACTTGCTAAAAGCACTTCACCGGATTAAAGCATGTTTACCAACTCAAAATGGTGAATTTCATGAATCGGAGAAGTAAAAAATATGAAAGGTAATGAATTATAAAGTAATTTTGGGTTAGGGATTCGGATTTAAAATTTTTAATGCATGGATAAATACTCTTAATCATTTGAACCAGAAACATTTTCTCAAATTTTCAAGTATTAAATTACTTATGGCTAAGAATCTCGCATACTTTTTTACCTTGTGTGTTATGCAACAAAAATGGAAAATCAAAATAATTTCAATCGTGGAAGTTAAAAAAAAAAAAATGAAATTCATGTTTATCGACTCAAAGATGAATTTCATGAATCGGAGAAGTAAAAAAATGGGAAGGATAATGAATTAGAAAGTAATCCTAGTTAGGAATTCGAGCGTAAGACTTTGAATGTTGTAAATATTCTTAATCATTTGAGTTACAAACTTTTTTTCAAAATTTTCAAGTATTAAATTACTTATGATAAGAAACTCACATACTTTTTTATTTTGCGTGTTACGCAACAAAAATTGAAAATCAAATTAATTTCAATTGTGTCAACAAATGTAAGGAAAATCATATGAATTGTTTCGGTACCCAAGTCAAATAAGTAACACGTGAAAACTAATGTCATTTTTTTTTTAATAAAGGGGACCAGTTGGTAACTTCATCACGGTAGTCTACCATTTAAGAGAGACTGGAAAGACTCATAGAGGTTTTCAACATCCTCTTGGGCACCATCGTGTGATTCAATGATGCCAAAAATTGAACTCAGGACGTGTCGTGTGAATTGGATTTGTCCCCAATTACCTAGTCATCGTTGAAAACTAATGTCATTTTGTACTTATCCTTATTGACTAAATATAACATTACATCCCTTATTTTGCTTCCTCTTCTTTTTTCTTATTCTTCTGGTCCCCTTGGGAACGTTTTTCAAAGTTTTTGACTTGCAATGTCCACCCCACCCCCCCCCCCCTTCTCTCTCCCCAATTAATCTGTTTGTTAACAAAAGTTAACCATATAAGAAGTCTTGGTTGTCAAGTTAGTCTTCTTTTTTCCAAGACTATCCACATTCCACGTACCTTGTGTGTTGGTTCTAAATTATCAGCTTACAAGTTGATCCATCCAACGGGTTCGATTTAAATGGGAGAGGGAGGACATTTAAATAATTCAATATATCATTAATGTAAAAACGACGAGTTTTAATGCAATGAAAATGTTGTTCTTTTATCATCGAAATGTCATATTCGAGTCAGAAAAACAGTCTCTTTATAAAATAAAGGTAAGATTGCATACGATAAATTATCTTCCAGCCCTCACAAAGCAGATAACCTTATTAACTTTGAATCACCCTTTTATTATATATTAACGTAAGCTTAATTAACTTAAACGGCTTGGCCTCATGAGGAATACTTTTGACCTGCATGCATATCACCGTACGCGGAATGTTGAATAATTTCATCCCTACACAGACAAAATCGACCTACATAGACCATACATATGAAAATATTACTGTATAGAGAAATTTTATAGTATGTATCGGTGTAGGGTATAAACCGAAATCACTAGTTGCACGTCTAACTATTTATTTATTCATAGTATGTCTAAGACAAAGTATAGCATAAATTTTGCTATATAAAGAATTTTTTTAATATGCACCGACGTATAGCATACACTGGAATTCTTAGTCGATTGGATCCTTAGTTGTTACATTCTTAATTGCACATCTAATATTTCATTCTTCCAGTACGTCGTCTCTTGTAACATGGTAGAATTTTCGCTATTTATTAGAATTTTCTAGCGTGTACTATACACCGAAATCTTGAGCATTGTTTACATATTTTCAAACCAAACAGTTCCTTTCCATGAATCATTTTTACACGGATTTACTATGATAATGCTATTCACACATTATTTTCACTTCCTACTCATCATTATTAATTTTTTGTCATTAATTTTGTTCAAAGGTTTCTTACTCCCGCGCCTGCCATCGCCAGGCTCGTGTTAGAATACAAAGATAGTGGTACAATGACAAAGCCCAACAATGGAAGCTTGGGACGAAGATGGAATCACACTGTGTAGGATTTGAACCTACGACGTCGGATTTTGGAGACCCATGTTCTACCGGACTGAATATGTATTTGATCCATAGCAAAAAATTGAAATGAATGTGTAAAAAGTAAAAATAGATGCGTGGATAGACCTCTCATTAACCTTTACAATAACGTTCAGAGTATCAAATTTACCCCTACCTTTTACTTGTAGTGCAAACTGAGTTCGAAAATAACCGAGAGTTGGGACTGAGTGCGAGGAAAAGTGACCCCCTTGTTTACATATTTTTCGGTAACAACAAATTACAACCCCTTTTATTTACATTTTGATGTTTTGCTTTGATGGTGCAATGCAGAAGCCATGCGTGAAACTATCGGAATCGTTGATCCATTTTAAGCACACTGTTGCTAGAGAAGCCACCTGACCAGCCCACTTTCAGTTGTTGTCTATTAGCCTCAAACTGCATGCATTGGGAAATTGCAATATGTTGGCTAAACCCAAGAAGGACCCCCAGATAGAAGTTGAGATTCTCTTTTGATTTCTGTGTTCGGAGTAATTGAATTCAAAAATCCAGACTGCTTAATCTAAATTATGCAATCTTCATTAGCCCATCTCACTAACTCATCTCACAGAAAATGAAATCTTTCAACGGCCTAGATCTCTCTCTTAAACGACTCGAATTTCCGACTCCAGCTGCTCCAGACACAGAGATCCGAAAAGGATTTCAACTCCTTAGCTAGCTGCTGAATTAATTTTCTAGTGGTTTAATAGTCCACTGCTAATTAGTTCACCACTAATGTTGTTTTAAACTAAATCACTTGTTATACCAAACTGACACACCCTGACCGGAGTCAAGGTATGGTGGCCATCACCCGAAGGTGATGTAACCAAAGCGTGAATGATGTAAAAATATGAATAAATTAGAACCAAACTAGAACATATTTAAACTACTAAAGTGAGTGTGCAGTAGTGGGTGGAACCCAAAGAATACAAATGTTCAAAGCATAGATAACACAAGCAGCGTAGATGAAACTAATTAAGTACTTAATACACAACGGGATAAGTTCCTACACTTAATAGGAATATGTCAGAATCGCTGCCTAATCATTGTACACCACAAAGTAATTCAGCTATCTAGGACCTGGAGGGGCGAAAAAACAGAAGGGTGAGTGGGCACAAAAATAAAGATTTATACTACTAGTTAATAGGTATGAGAGTTTATAACAACAAAATATTAATGCAATTAGTGGTGGAACAACTCAAATTAAGTTGTATATAGTTTTGTTATGCCTCTGAAGTGGGACTTTAATATTTTTCAATATGAATGAGATATGGTCTGAAAAGGACACCACTTAAAACCTTTACAATCGAGTTTTCGTACTTTAGTTTTGCTTTTCAGTTGTTGTATTTTACTAATGTTGATATTCATGTCTTACACTCTTATTGAGATTTTTCGATGAATATTGTTAATTTGATAAATAAAAAAGATCAATTTTTGCTGCCAAGATCATTGCCAATTCCAACATTAGATCACTGGTTTGCTAAATTCACTCTGGCTTTTCCTACTCGGGTGGATTAGTTACATGTTAATTGGCTTTATAGTTGCAACTGATTAGATAATTGGCAGTAAAAGGCATAAGTTTTATTTTTCGGTCATAGGGTAAATTTTATACCAACGAAGAACAAGTATAAATATAGAAGTCTCGAGACAAGTTAAGCATTAGATCCCAGCACAAAACAAAAAAAAAAAAAAAAAAAAAAAAAAAACCCTAAGTAATCAATAGCCCCTTCCGCCACCATAGTATCGGAGATCCACCACCAGACTTCAACCTAAAATTCGAGCAAACGATGCCCCCAAGAAGGAATGAACACAGAGCTCCATCATCTTTGAAACAGCACCACACAAACCGCCTCCACAAAACACAAGAAGCTCATGGGAATACATAGCACAAATGCAACAGTGCCAATAAAAACAAACATATAGAAAGTAACGGTGTAAACACCTAAGCCAAAGCACTACACACCCTTCGATACACCAGCATGAAAGCGCAGGAAGGATATGTGGATGCATATCGACTAGTCTTGTCAATAAAGCCAAAAGATTTGGTTCGACTAGTTTTGGTTAATTTTGTTTCGTGAGTGGATAATCTAGCATGGCGACTAATTGGATGTCACAGTCAGATTCATTGCCTTAAAGAAATAAGCAAGAACACTTTGGACTACGTGGCAATAAGGTAACCCTTGAACAAATTTAGGGCAACTGAAATATTGGCAGGGCCCCCATCATTATCTGGCGTGGTCCCCCACCAAAACAAATATGGTCGATTTTGTGATCGCAAATTAGCAAGAAAATGGATGGATCATAAAATTCAGAACATGTTTAAGAAGTCCCCCCCACCACAACCCAAAATGCCCATCATTTTAAACATGTTTTATTGTCTTGAAAATGAAAAAGGATCCGACTTCTCAGTCCTTCCACTTCTCATACACTTTCATTCTCTTTTATTTTGTGCGATCACGGTTAGATTACGTTAATATTTTATATTCATTTTTTTATATAGATAATAAGATAAAAAGCAATAATAATATAAAATGTTAACGTGGTTTAACCGATATCGTACAAATAAAAAGAAATAAAAGTGTATGAAAAATGAGAAAACAGAGAGGCCAGGTCCAATGAAAAATGATTACTGCACATTATTGTTCACTTATGCGCACTTTTATGGTTTTTTATCTATTGCATTGAAAAAATCAAATAAGATGAGAATAAGGAGGAGAGAGAAACTGAAAAATGAGAGAATCCAAATTCGTAGCTGCTATATTTTGCCTAAAAAGACGAAAAATAAAGATAAAATTTGTGGAAGTTTCGGCGATGGGGGTGATGATGACTGAGTTCATCTTGTTGTCGTTGAATAGTACCAGCAACAAGGTGAAGGACCACTGCCTGCAGAAACCGCCCTCTTCCATCGAGCGTTTATTTCAATTGTCGATGAAATTTTATCCTTCAAATTTCAATAAAATTACGCAAATTATATTATTTGTTGTGTGTTTTTTATTTCAATATTTTTTTGTAATTGTTTAGGAAAATAAATTTGGGAACATTGTGATGATATATATTTTGTTTTCTTTCTCTTTTGGTGGTCGGGCACCAACTTGGTATTCTGTCTGGGAATTCAAAACGGCATCTAATTATCGACATGTATTTTTTGTAAATTATGCCATAATATATAAGTAGAATAATTACTTCTTGATTACAAAACCATTTGTTTCACCAAGTAATAAACACATGAAACATTTAAGTATGACCAACAAGCAAATGAGAAAATTTTGTAGCATGCCGGAAACATGGGTTGTAGTCATGTGTTATAATACAAGTTGGTGAAATTTTTTTTGTAAGTATATATCGAACAACTTGTATTATGATATTTGGTGTATTTGGCCGTGTTATCCGCACATTAAAAAATCTCTCCAAGAAAATTATGGATTTCTCTTTTATGATGTCAAATTAATTATGGAGATTTGAGATAAAGGCTTCTATGAATTCATTCTAGCACGTTTGTAAACATTTTTCCATTTTTCCTTAGTGGATGATAACTTTGTCATAAAATCTTCACATCAAGTGTCACTTGTGATAGGGTTGTGCAAAGGTTCGAAATTACTCGTCTAATTCGATTTTAACTAGTTTAACCTAATACAGTAAAACAAGGTTGGTGTCACGGTTACAGTAACATTTGTTGGCAATTTGAATAATGAGTTTCACTTTTGTTAAGTGCGTGAACCTAACCGGTTTACTAGTTATATTCATTTCTAGAATCTTGCGACACGCGTCGTGTTTCTATTGGGTATGCGTTCTTGTAGTGGTCATCTCCTTACAGTATGACCTTCACTCTTCTAACCCTAAAACATAGCCTCTATTTTCTCTCGTCTCATATACACCGCTATGCTTGAACACCTTTCCTCCTCTATCTAGGGTTGATGTTTGCTCTCCTCCTCGCCTCCTCAATGTCTTTTTTCAAATTTTCCTTGTTTATCAAAACTCTTCGAGTTATCATTTCATCACTCTTCAAGTATTTATGATTTGTGATTTTTTTTTTCCGGGAGTTTTTCTCTCTTGATTTAGTTGTCCGTTTACCTATTTATCTTGTTTCTTGTGCTAAAGAAATGTTTCTAGATATGTTACCTATTCAATAGCGTTGATCTATTTGTTGCTTAATTTCAATTTGAATTTATGCTTTTGTTTGGTTGTTTATGAACAATTATAGAGATAAAACAAAGACGCAGGAACGAGCTTGCAATGTCGAGTTGTTGTTACATGATAATCCAATTTGGTTTGATCAACTTCTTGATAGATGAAATGACTAATGTGTTCTAATCAGCCGACTTAAAATTTGAAACATCAAAGTTTGAGTAGGTCGAATCGTTCGACGGATGGAGTCACAACCCTTTCCAACCAACAGACTTGACCTAGTGCTTGTCCAGGTACTATCCCCTATGCTTGGATCAGATATTTTCCAAATTCCAAGATAGTTAAATAACTATAATTTGTTCGATATAGGCGATTAAAAATGCTCGCCATGAGCATAACAAAGATATGAGAAAGATTAATCCTCTCCATCTAACATTTTATGGTCCATTTCTTAATAATTTGATCTCCATCCGTGGAGGCTTGGAACTCCCATACCCAAACATAGCCACTATATCTTAACATCCTTTTTTTTTAGAACTTTAATGAAAAGTTTCCGGTACTGTTCATTTTAACGAAAAATCATATTTTAAAACTAAAATGTTAATTCTGGTACTATTCACTTTATCCTTTATTTTGTCATTATTATTAAAACTCAAAGTTTTTAAGTCATTTTCATTATTTTTTTTTTGCCTGAAAAATTGTGAAATTGAACTAAGCAACAGTAGTTATTGTTTATTTATTATATTATACACACTTATATGCACAAAATTTATAATAAATAAACTAAGTAGGTAAAGATATATAGCTCAATTGGTTCAGGGTACTTACACATTCAAGATTTTAGATTCAATTACTTGTTTCTATATTAACTATACCGCTCATATCATTTGTTGCTGGATTGATTTCTTTGTCAACTATACTTTAAAAGAAAGTGTTATCCACACACTTTCGTTAATTTTTATCTATTAATTATATTCTATTTATTAGATCCGACGATCAAAAATAAAAAAGATATATTTGAAGTAAATATAAATGTGTAAATGTTACTACCCTACTTTAAATTCCAACAACAGAAAAGATAATACTTAAATTGGTAGGCGACATGGTCAAATTTTCATTTGTTTTCTATTTTTTTTTTTTAAAGGGGCATTTGTTTTCTATTCAAATAAAACAGATAACAATCCAAAGTTTGTTTTGATCACCTACGAAAACAAAAACAAAAACCAAAGCAAATCATATTCCTCCATTGTCAACGTCAACTTTCAAGCATGTAAAAACTCCAACATGCTTCTGTATTCGATTTCTCCATTTTTTTTCATAAATAAAACAATTATACTTTTGTGAGATGCTTAAAACTAAATAAATAAATAAAAGAGAATTTTAATGAAAAGCTCACGACACTGTTCATTTTAACGAAAAACCACATTTTTATACTAAAAAGTCAATCCTAGTACTATTTATTTTATTTTTTATTTTGTTTTTATCATTAAAACTCAAAGTTTTCAAGTCTTTTTCATTAGTTTTCCTTAAATAAAATTGTATCACTGGTCCAAATGATAATTACATTTCAGGTCAGAAAAATAGTTTTTTTGAGTGAGGTTTTTAGTTATAATCGAAAAGAAGTTGTTGACTTGAAATTTAAATTGCACCAACAACAATAACAAAGCACTATATCATAAGTGGGGTTGAGTCGGTCGATTATATAAATTCTAGAACACTAGTAGGCTCTATTTTGCATTAAATCCTTCGTTGGAAAGACATAGAGCAAACCAAGCTTACTGACGTTTTAGGATTTATACGACCAACTCTACTTAACCGGTTAAAACCTTGTTGTTGGTGCAATTTAAATTTAAAATTGACAACTTCTTTTGGATTATAACGTAACAACCTCACTAAAAAAATTATTTTTCTGACCAGAAAAATGCAAAAAACGTTGTGGGGATGGATGCATATCCAAAACTTTATTGATATGGCAAGTAATATGAAGCCTACTTAATTTCTTTCCATATCTGCTCTCCCTAATCCATCTCAACGCATGTATGTAGGTCACACATGTTTGAAGCATCTCATTATCTATAGTAGCATATGGGCTCACATAAAATATGTGAATTTTTTTTTTTTAATTAGAAGAAGAGAAGAAGAGAGGAAGAGAATGATCGAGAATGTGGAAGTGAGAATTTTTTTATTTTTTATTTTTATTTTTATTTTTTTAATTAGAGATATGTTAGAATTACATGTACGTGAGACTTTGAAAGAAAAAAAAAGCAAAATTTGGTTGTGTGAAATTATATTTCTACTCTATATTTCTTATTCATGTTCTGTTTTAATTGAAGGGTTAAACTAATAATTTCATAGGATTTTAGTTGACAATGAGTGTTTTATTAATTAATAGAAATAATAATATATAATTTTTACATATTGAATATAATATTTATTTAATTGTGTATAAATATATGGGGAAAGTACAGAAAAGAAAACACATGGGTTATTATGGAAATTTAAAAAAAAAAAATAAATGGTAATTGGGTTGGTGGGTATTTTTCTTTCCAAATCATCTAAATTTTTGCATCATCGTCATCATCATCAACATTTTGGTACGTTGTGAGAGAAGAGAAGGTCCAAAAAGGCAGTGCCCTTTCGCTCTCTCTCCTCTGCGTAAAACGGACGATCCCAAGCACCAAAAACAAACACCCTTTATTCCTCTCTCTCCTCTCTCGCTCTCGAGACTCTCATCGTTACTGAAATTTATAATCTTTTAATATAAATAAGAGGGAATAAGAAGAAAGAAAAAAAAAGAAAAGGTAGTGCTCTGTTTTTTATTACCCATTTCCTTATCAAATTTGCAGACTTTTTTTGCTCTTTTTGTTGCTTTTGCCTTTTTAATCTCTTGTACTTAAGCGATCGTGAGGTGGGTTTGATTTCATTTCAATGGAGTTGGTCTAGAAAAAGCCGGGTAAGTTTTTCCCGTGAAATTCATCATCTGGGTCTGTTTAGAAATTCAATTTTGTTCTTTGTTGGTGTTAAATTTTTTTAATTTTTATGACCAGTAGTGTTGGGTAACAATTTTGCAGAAATCCAATTTGGTCTTTGTTGGTGTGATAAATTTTCGAGAAGAATAAAAATCCAGTCTTTGAATCGAATAAAAGGGTTGCTGTTCTTTGATCATGGCGGTTGCTGAGAATGCACCAAATTTCGACAACACAGCAGTGTCGTCAGACTCGAATGCACAGAACGATCTCGGAAACCCAAAACCCAGAGTCGATTCCTCTGTTGCTCTGAGTGCTGAGCCCAATGTACAGTCCAACGGACACGATCAAAGTGTCGAGGGGAAGTTTCAGGAGCAGGAGAAAGTGACAACTTTCTCAGTCGCCACTAACAATCACAAAGCTCCATCGGGTCAGACCCCAAATGGGTTTGATTCCAATGGGGTCGATAACCATCAGACGGAGGAGGCCAAGTCTGATGGTTATGTGATTGATCAGAGGTTGAATGGCGAAGGCGATGAGAATTACAACCGTGATATGAGAGATTTGGCGGACTTGTTGTCTAAGTTGAATCCCATGGCTGAGGAGTTTGTGCCTCCTTCCCTTATCAACAACAATGGCGGCTTCGATTTTGCTGGTGGGTTTGGATATACTAATGGTTTTGTACTGCACAGTAACTCTGGCAATGCCAATGGACTAATGGGTAGGAAGGTATGTGAGGTTCTTCCATTTCCTTACCAAAGTTTAAAATTTTTCTGTTTGGTTGCTGAGAAAATGCAGGAAATTAATTGACCAACAAAGTGGTGTTGTTTTCCTTTTGCTTGGTTGTTTTTCCTTGTGTTTGGTTTCTGAAAAATGAAAGATACACTGATAGGTCATTGCATGATGATGGTTCATATGAAATTTTTTATTCTTTTTCGACTTTTAGTTATCTAGAAATTTCATTGATCAACTACCAATTTTTGTTTAATTGTGCCTTGCTTATTGTTTGTTTCCTTTTTCTTCGTCTGCAGAAGAAGAATGGTTATAGTCAAGGTCGGCGTAAGAACTATTACAAATTGAATTTGGCTCAGAGGGAGGAAATGATTAGGAGGACTGTGTATGTATCTGACATTGATCAACAGGTAATAGTTGCGTTGTAGTTTGTTGTCACATTTTAAAAATTTTATACAGCAAATGTTAATCTTTGTATGACCGACACTCGATTTACTTTGTATCAGGTTACTGAAGAGAACCTGGCTGCTCTTTTTCTTGGCTGTGGACAGGTAACTAAAGTTTTTCGTTTTCTTGTTTGTACTGGTTCTATATAGATAATGCTAGAATGGTGGATTATAATCTGAATTTTCCTTCCTAAAGGTTGTGGACTGTCGTGTCTGCGGTGATCCAAATTCAGTTCTTCGATTTGCCTTCATTGAGTTCACAGATGAAGGTATTATCAAAATCTGACATACTTAAGTTCATTGATAAGTCTGGGTCTTGTTATGATTTCGATGTGCTGAATCAACTTTTTTATCTACCCTTGCAGAAGGTGCAAGGAATGCTCTAACTCTGTCAGGAACCATGCTTGGCTATTACCCAGTAAGGGTGCTGCCTTCAAAAACTGCAATTGCACCTGTTAACCCAACATTTTTGCCAAGGGTGAGGACCATATTTTACCGCTTGTCATCAACATTTTTGCCAAGAGTGTTAAAAAGTGATTCATTGAATTGCGCTGACTTTACCTGTTCTTACTTGGGTTTCTTCTGTTTATATTATTTAGTCTGAGGATGAGCGTGAGATGTGCTCAAGGACTATTTACTGTACGAATATTGACAAGAAGGTAATTTCAACTTTCCAATCTCGTTTGGGTTCTAGGACCAGAACTGGTGTGCCTTTTCCTGATTTTATTTGTTTATGCAGGTTACTCAAGCTGATGTCAAACTCTTTTTTGAATCACTTTGTGGAGAGGTTGGTATTTCTTTCTGTGACAAACTTTGATTACTTCTTGTTCTAAAATTGCAATCTTATCGTATGGACTTTTTCTGGCTCGTGTAGGTTCAGCGCCTGAGGCTGCTTGGTGACTATCAGCACTCCACTCGTATTGCTTTTGTTGAATTTACTGTGGTAAGTATCTAGTGGCCCTTCTCTATGTAAGTTGGATTTTTGAGCACTCATCAGCCTCACTCTGTTCTGTGCTTTGTAAGCATGTATGCATATCCGATCTGCTCTTCAAACATGCTGAAATGGAGTTGTATGGGCATGGCTAACACCGAATTGATTGCAAATCATTGATGTGGTCTGTTGTTGCACATATACATGTTCAGAATCACCGTCACCAATAATATTTTGATTTAAGATCATAAACTATTTTGAACAAGGAAATGGTCCTTCTGTTGTTTAAAGAAGTGCGGTTAGATTAAAGGTTGTCTTTTAGTCTACTCATACTTTCTGTTGTGCTATCTGGTTTCACTCTCGCAGGCTGAAAGCGCAATTGCAGCTCTTAACTGTAGTGGTGTGGTTTTGGGATCGCTGCCGATAAGGTCAGTTTCGCAGATTGTTTAGTTTAACTCGTTACATCTCCCCACAACATCCCCCACCTCCCACACCTCAAATTTTCTTTTAGGAGCAATTTACTTTGGACATCCTAGTCATTCTTATGTATTATGCATGCAGGGTAAGCCCCTCAAAGACACCAGTTCGACCCCGTACCCCTCGTTCTCCGTTGCAGTGAACCACCTTTGCATGTTTCCTTGACTAATCTGCTGCTGATAGATATATCAACCGTAAGCATACACAGAGACTTGTATTTCGGCATATCGTGTCTATCTATGCTTTTGTCTAGGTTACTGTTAAGGTATCGATGTGACCTACATGGGGTTATCTGTGGGTTTATTTTAAACTTGTAGAGTTGGATGGATTACTGAGGAGTTTAATGGTTTAATTTTACTTTGTTATGAAATCTAGAGGGATAATCCTGAAAATCTCAAATGCTTATGATGCTTCTCACGACCGGAAACTCTTAAGAGCTCGCCGGTCATAACTTTTCTTGGTGCTCTTTTGGCATTCTAATCTCACCCACATCTGGCTTTCGAGTTGTTAAGAGTTGGGTTGACATTGAGATCCCTGATCCCAAATATCTTCCCACATACTTGCTATGGAGGTAGGTTTTGTGGGAGAGACTGACCTACACTTGGGAGGCCACCATGGCAGTGTCCAAAACTAATAACGCACAAAAATATCAAAATTTAAACAAAAGATAGTGCATTATTGGTTTATGATATCGCACCAGTGGTTTCGTAGGTCTAAGTGAGACAATTGCCTAACCGGCTTCATCTTCCCTGTCCTCTTGTTGAGATAATTTGCCTTGTACCTGGTCGTATATCCTTTATTTTCCAACCGGGTTTGATCATTGGACTCCAAATTTCATCGAACAACGCCCTCAAGGGGCAAGTAGACCACAGAAAACTCAGTATTTGAAAACAAAAACCGAAAATATCTACGAAATTTTGTTATAAGCTCCCTTTTGGTTATTGACAATGAAAAAAAATGTATGAATGAATCAAGTAGCTAAAAGAACATAGTCTAACAGGGAATGTATTATTGCATCTCTTTGGCCCTTTCTATCCCAACTTTGTAACCGGACATTAGTCGATGAACTCTTCGCAGAATCGGAGGCAGTTGTTGGCGGTTCCGGCAATGGATTGTGCTGGCATTGGATATATAACTAGCATGCACTGGACTAGTTAGAGTAGAGACCAAAGTTGGAGTAAGTACCTGTGACTGTAGTAGTAGGAAGTGCAAGTGGTAAGCTCTGTAGTTTGGGTCTGGGATTGGATGTTGTTGGACTATTATGTCCAGGTTGTGCTTGTACTGGAACACACGGATAATAGTACACCCCAGGATAAGGATAGTAGTGTTGCTGTTGCCCCCAGCCACCATATCCGGTGTAATTATAATTCTGCATTTCATATGTTAAAAGTCCTTGTCAGCTTAAACGAATCTATTAGTGCAGATGCGGGGCGGGAATTCGAACTTGGGAGGCAGGCACAATGCCATGACCAACCGGTCTAATCCACGTTAGATGAATTAAACAACAGAAGGAAACTAACCATTAATGTAAAGTTATTGTCTTGCTGGTAAATTGGATGCCTGAAAGCCAAGAGGATCAGATTATCAGAACTAAGAAGATAATTAGGTAATTAAGTGTCTTAACTTTTCACTAATTATATCTTCTTACCCGTAAGTCGAATAAGGGATTAATGCATATTGGGGGTTGGAGTGATGGAAATAGGTGTTGATGAAAGGTATGGATGATGATCTGGTTTTCTTCATTCCCTCAACAACTTCTGAAAGATTAACACACACCAGATTAGGTCAAACTAGAGTTCATGAAAAACTTACGTGCACCTGGAATGCTAGGGCGACAGTATTTCAAGTCAATAACGCACTTCCACGTGTTTTAACCATCTTGTATAACGGCTTAACAATGTATGTGACTGACTTAAGATACTGTTGCCTCGAAATCCCTAGAGCATGGAAGTTTTTCTCACAAAAAACATAGAAACTAAAGAAGAGATAGACCATGTTGAGGCTGAGGAGTGGTTGGACGATTCTTCTGTGCACCGAGGACTGCAAGATTACAATTAGCTCGCCTTCCATCGATGATAGGATTAGGGTTTTCACAAGCTCTCACAGCTGATTCTGGATCCTTGAACGTCACCTAATCAACAACCAACAATATATCTAAAAACTAATAACGGGAGTACTCAAAACATAAATTCTTTGTGCATGACGTTCAATCTGTATCGATATGTACCTATAAAACTTTAACCTAAAGCAGTAACATAACAGACCAAGCAGTAAACTTACAAAACCATAGCCTTTTGATCTTGCTGTGAACTTGTCAGTGATGACAACGGCCTCCAGGATCTCCCCGAACTGCTCGAAATAGCGTCTCATGGTGTCGACTCGAGTCTCCCACGGCAATCCTCCGACAAAGATCTTGGTTTTGGTTGTATCACCAAATTGTTTGCCACTGTAACCGTTTGCTCCGACCTTGATCATTCTTACTGATATGGACCTATGGCATACGCTTTTGGCTTTGAGAGAGTCGGGACAAATATATATATATATATATATATATAAATATAGCAAAGCTTTAAAAGTCATAGATATCCGTTTGTTCAAATCAAACCTTTTGGAAAGTTAATCTTTTGTCGTATTGTGTTTTCTTCTTGCTATTTCTCGCATAACTTACTAGATCTTCATCGTAAAGCCAAAGATTCGAGAGCAAAGATACCCTCAACAAGAAAATTAATGGATATGCTTTAGGAAAGGTGAAGATATTAATATAAAAGGAGGTAAGAAAAGAGGTAACTAAAGTGGAAATTACCAGAGCATATACACATTGAGAATTTTCTCTAGTGAAAGTTTAAGTTACATATTTGAATAATGTCCATTTTTTGTTACGCTGAAGAAATTTTTTAGCGTGCTTAAAACACTGTCCACATGCACCAAGTTTCATGAATCATACTACAATTGGTTGGGTTTGTTTTTTTTTTTTTTTTTTTTTTTCAATTTTCAAACAACTTGTAATAACACACTTGGTTATCAGGATGTGTTCACTAAAAAATCACTTGTTATACTGTACCAACAGGCCCACAGTTCTTTCGTTTTCTGAAAGCCCCCTTCATACTAGAAAGATTTTTTAGTGTGTTTGGAATACAGTTTGGTAAACTAAGTGTAATAGTACAATTGGTTGAAAACTTGAAGAATTTTTTTTTCATCCAATTGTATTATGACACTTGGTGTACCAAGTCTTGTTTTTTGACAAACTAAAAAATTTATCCTTCATACTGTTGCGCACTCACACAAAAAAGTCACTAACTTTAAGTTGTCCGTTGGCTTGAATTTTTATATTTTTTAACAAGACAATATTCTAATGAGGGGTTTGATGATTATTTCGTTTTCATTTTTCACATTTGTTTTTAACTTCTTTGTTAATTACTTTCAGTTTAGAGTTTTCAAATAAATAAAAATTGAAAGCTACTTTGTTGAGTTTTCAAAATTGGATTTGGATCCCATCTGGATCGAAATTGTGAGGATTTTAAGAATTCTCACATTCTAACCGTTCATTATACATCGTGCGGCCAAAAATTATTTTAAATTTTAAATATAAAATTAAACACAAATCTCTACTAATTAATAAAACACTCATTGGCAACCAAAACCCTATGAAATTACCAGTTTAACTCTCTAATTAAAACAGAACATAAATAAGAAATATGAGGTAAAAATGTAATTTCACACAACCAAATTTTGTTCTTTTTTTTCTTTTCAAAGTCTCACCTACATGTAATCCTAACATATATTTAATAAAAAATAAAAAACTTCACCCTCTCACATTCTCTATCACTCTCTTTCTCTCTCCTTCTATTTCAAAAAAATAAAAATAAAAATTTTTCTCACACACTTTGTATGTGCCTATATGCTAGTAGTACCTAACGAAAATTGGCCGTACGATGTACGATGAACGGTTAGGATGTGAGGAATCTTAGGATCCTCACAAAGAGGATCTAAAGTGAATCATCATCCCTAAAGTATGAAAGTAATTATCAGACGAGTTTTCAATCAAAAAACTACAAAAGAAATGTTATCAAACCACCCTTAATTACTCAAATCTATAAAATTGGAAAATTCAAACTTATGAAAGTAATTATCAGACGAGTTTTCAGTCAAAAAACTACAAAAGAAATGTTATCAAACCACCCTTAATTACTCAAATCTATAAAATTGGAAAATTCAAACTTATTAAACTCTCTACCCTAGCCAGTTAACCTAATCCCAGATTCATTGAAATTGGAGTGTGAGTCGGTACAATGCCTTCAAATAGAGTTTTTCAAAAACGCTTACGCTACTAATTAATAAAATACTCATTGTCAACCAAAATCCTATAAAATTATCAGTTTAACCTTCTAATTAAAACAGAACATGAATAAGAAATATGGGGCATAAATGTAATTTCACACAACCAAATTTTTGTTTTTTTTTTTCCAAAGCCTCACCCACATGTAATCCTAACATGTCTCTAATTAAAAAAAAAAAAAAAAATTGCTTGTATGATGTATGATGAACGGCTAGAATGTGAGAAACTTTAGGATCCTCACAAAAAGAATCTAAAGAGAATCCTCATCCCTGAAATAGAAAATAATTATCAAACGAGTTTTCACTAAAAAAAACTACAAAAGAAATGTTATCAAACCACCCTTAATTACTCAAATCTATAAAATTGGAAAATTCAAACTTGTTAAACTCTCTACCCTAGCCAGTTAACCTAATCCTAGATTCATTGAAATTGGAGTGTGAGTCGGTACAATGCCTTCAAATTAAGCTTTTCTAAAACGTTCACGCATAGGCTCCTCCACGCCATCTTCCCTTCTGTTTCCAATTCCAAGTTCTAGATGTGGCAACCTAGCTCAAAGCTAGCTTTAACAGATTTTACGTATTTCATGAAATCTGCTTTCGTATGCAGTTGTTTCGTCTTTCAATTAAACTTATCAAAGTAATTCTTACATAAAATCGAAGATATATACTCTTACATCTAACTTAAGATATACATACAAAAGAATATATCCTTATTCATGTATCAAAATCGTCCACAAGGTGTCCTAATAATAAAATCGAATTTGCACATCGCCAGCTAATTTAATGGGATGACCCATGAGAAGGCCAAAGTCTAGGATTAGGTTCATGGGATGGACTTATTTAAATAGGGATGTAATATACACACCTCTTTTTACTTCTCACACATCCTTCTTATTTTCGGTTGTCGGATTAGAGGAATTGAAGAAAATTAAATGACATAAATTAACAAAAGATGTATGAGAAGTAAAAAGGAGTGTGTAGATAACACACCCCATTTAAATATGGGAACTTTAACGAAAAACTTCCGGTACTATTCACTTTAACGAAAAACCACATTTTTACACTAAAAAGTCAATCCTGATACTATTTATTTTAACCTTTATTTTGTCATTATCGTTAAAACTCAAAGTTTTCAAACTATTTTCATTAGTTTTCCTTTTAAATAACCTAGTAAGTTAACAATTCACTAAACTACATAATTATAGGAGATATTTGTCTTCTGATTTCACTTCTTTCTTCCTAATCTGATGATGATATGCACTCAGTGCAGTACAACCAATTAAAATCAGATTCCATTAATGAGTAATAATACTTAAACACAAAAATGATCACACTGGTGATACACTATCTAATAAAAGATAAATTATACAAGCACAAAACCCATCTTTATTAAAAAGTGCATTAACAATGTAATCAACTTTTTGTGTTTCTATGCCCATGCTCAAGATATTTTATTGCATCCTTATTTTCGTTTTTGTTGATTGTCTGTTCCTTGAGGGTTTTGGTTCGATCACCCCACTTGAATATCTAGTTCTTTTATTTTAGTTTATTAATAAAAAAAATTAGGCCGATGAAGAGAGGGTATGGGGTTTTCTGAATGTAATGGTCCTCGCCCCTATACAGAAGAGTTGATTTCTCTCACACGACTATTACAAAAGAGTTAATCTCATTTAATCCTGCGAATTATGCTTTAAGAAAGAAAAAAATTATAACCCTTATGATATATAGATATGCATTTGTTTTGTTCTTTAACATCACCAAAACGATGAGGATGATGTATATGCCTGCCTCCCAAATAAGCTGTATAAAATTTCAACACAAGATTTCCCTTGGTCCATCCCTCAATATAAAACTCACACAGTCTAAAGTAGTGTCCATCCTACAATTGCTATGCCACTTGTACATTATAAAAACTAAACAAATAAAACAAATCAATAGAGATGGATTGCCTATGTGACTTTTGACAGTAATATTATGGACAAGTTTATTTATCACCAGAATAAATAGGGATATATGAAAAATTGAGTGCATAATATATAAAGTAATTTTCAATAATTCTATATTTTGATAGAGATATGAAGCATTGGGCAAGGAATATACAAACTCCTCTTTAATAATTTTATACCTTGATTTTCAGATATAAAGGTATAAGGTACTTGGGGATTCACATTCTTCTCATTCCTTGTTAGTAAATAGGCATCATTTTCAAAACCTTGATTAATAACAAATACTGAATACAAATTATACATTACTCAATCCTTGTAAATCTATTTCTTTGTAAACAAACATGACCTAAACTTCTTCTAGTACTAGAAATCAATAAAGCTCAAAGCTTCCATGGACATGAGCAATATGCCATGCACCACCCTCCACTAACCGACTCCACCCCCCAAAAAAACCCACCCACCACGTTCTCTCTCTCTCTCTCTCTCTCTCTCTCTCTCTCTCTCTCTCTGTGCATGCGTGTTGACAAATTTGTCTTTTCCTTATTATCTTCTTTACTCCAAAAGACCAAGACCAAATATTTATAAATATCTCATTCCCTCCCACTCCAAATTGCCCTTCTCAAAGAGACAGTTTTCTTTGCCTACTTCTTTCCACTCCGCACAAAACAAACAAACCCCCTCATTCCTTCTGCCCTTCCCTTAATATATTTCGCCTTAATTTCCTCCTCCTCTCACACACTATACGTGTCACCCTTGCTCCTTCACACCACCGATTGTTAATACTCTCTCTCTCCCTCTAGCTATATATATTTAACATCTCTGTCACTAGCTCTAGCCGTGGAGAAAAAATGGGCAACTGTTTAGTTCTCTCCAAGGAGGACAAAGTTTTGAGGGTTTTGAAGACAGACGGGAAGGTTTTAGAATTCAGAGCACCAACCCTAGTTAAGGACATTTTATCAAACTTTTCGGGCGTCGGTATCGGTTTATCAAAGCAAGCTTCGGAGCAGCTTTCCCCTGATTGCAAACTGAAGCTTGGGAAGGTTTACTATATGACTCCCCTTCCGGGTTCTGCAGAAAATGACAGTGCTGCTACAAGAAGGATTAAGATGGTCATAACAAAGCAACAGCTTCAAGAGCTACTGACAAAGAAAATATCAGTACAGGAGGTACTTTCAGATTCAAAAATTTGGAAACCGAAGCTCAGATCCATCCCCGAAGAAATCGAGTAAAGTAACTATGGTTACGTTCCGGCGTATAATCTTCATGTTCATGATCTATGGCTGATCATATACACCTTTGAGTCAAACGTTCTTAGCTTTTCATTAATTTAGTCTTTCTTGTAAAACACGTAATGAATGAATGGCCATTAATATTTTCTAGTCATGCAGCACGATCTTTTGTGGACTTGTTAGGTTGGATCTTAGTAAGCACTCGGCGAGACACAAAATCTATGGTTAACAATTAATTAGTAGAAGTGTTTGCGTGCTTTTTAAACATTTCCTTTAAATAATTCAAGTTTGATTTTAGGTATTATCAAAGAAATCAGTCATGTTTTTTTGGCTTTTCCCCAAATATTAGAGGTTAGATGGATTCACGTTCTTGCCAATGTATTTGGAACATTTTTAGAAGGTAAAATTGTTGAAGATGCCCATCGGAGGACGTAATGGATATAAATCTAGAACAGTAAAAATTGAATCTAGCACAGCAAATTCAAACTTTGCAGGTTTGGGCCTCGAGATCCAAATTAAGCTCACAACATGTCATTTAGTATTACGATTTAATGATATTTATTTTCATTTGTAAATGAGAAATCGTAAATTCGATTATTGTCAAAAGCAAGTTTGAACGATATTATTTCTAAGCACATCATCTCTCCCTTAACATAAATAATATCGTTTGTTAAGCAACTTTTCCATCCATTTTGTCATCCGTATAAATGGTTGATAATTTAATCTTGGATTTAATTCGGGATTTAAAATACTTATTACCATGTTAGAAGCAACTTTACACAATGTAACAAAGCACAAGAAAACAGACCAAAACAACACACAATATCTAGTGTACGTCCATACAAAACCAGAGGAGGCTTAGGCTTTTTCACTGAATTGCAACGTCAATAACCTTGCGTTCAACTTTGGTCTTAGGAATGGCTATGTAGAGAACACCATTCTTGAACTCCGCCTTGATCTTGTCCTTCTCCGAATTATCCGGCAGCTGAAGGCGGGTATTGTAGGAGCTAAAGCTCCTGCTCGACCACGAATCGTCGCCACCTTCTTCCTTCTTCTGCTCTCCCTTTATAACTAGCACATCGTCCTCGACCGACACCTTCACGTCCTCCTTCGAAAGCCCCGGCATGTCGAACCGCATTTTGATTTCGTGTTCGTCGTCTTTGATGTCCCAAGGCGCGCGCACTTCCCCTGCTGCTCTGTTTCTTCCCGGGAATGCCACCGTGTCTTCGAAAAGCCGGTCGACTGTGTCCAGCATTTGCCGCATTGTTCTCACTGGGGAGATGGGATCTAATAGACCTGCAATACCTGCAAATTAATTGGCACCTCATTTTAGATGATTTTTACTAAGCAGTATTTGATGGCTTAGGATAATTCAGAGTTGTAACTTTAAATTATCTGATTAGTTAAAAGCTTTGGATTTAAGTTTTAAGTACCAAATTTTGGCAACTTAAATCACCTAAAAATAATCAAGGTCCAATGGAGAAGAATTGTTTGCCTGATTACGATTAAGTCACGTCAATATTTTATATTTTTTTTATAAAGATAATAAGATAAAAATAAATAGTAATATAAAATATTAACGCAGCTTAACTGTGACCACACAAACATGAAGACACGTAAAGACACCGAAAATGGAACGGCAGACAATCCTTATCCGGATCCAATGGCACCAATTTTTTTTTTTTTATACACATGTTTTTGTGAAGCCCAATTTGTAATATTTAAAAGCATCCGAACCGATTATATTTTTGGTCTTCCTAGAAATCATTATTTGTACAATCTTATTTGTCTATTTTCTTCATTACAAATGAATGTCGTAATACTTTTAAATCCATCTATCTTTTTTTATAAATAATTTATGAATAATATTCTAAAAGATAAACCATTCTAATCGTTATAAAATATAAGAAAAATGTGTGTGAAAAGTTGTGTCGAAAAAATAATGTCACAAATCCACCGCTAATAATTAATCATGTAATAAATGATACAAAAGCTAAATTTTTTTTTAGCATAAAAGAAGTTTTCACAGTGTTAAAAACAAAACGTTGTGCACAGAGAATTTGTACGACTTCAAGTGAAAAGTTTAAGACCAAGACGAACTTAGAAATTCATGCGTGGATATCATATCAATTTTATTGAGTATGCATCATAGGTTTTGATAGATACTATGTCACATGTTACATAAATAATTCGTTCTATATAAAAAATGGACGTTAGTTTTATAGCCGGACTAATCTTCCTATGTTTTCCCATCACACGACTTTCCTCGGTTCAAAAAAGTCAAAATTGAGGGTGTTAGACTTACCAAAAGGAGAAATGTCCACGGCCAATCTCCTTGGCCTCCTCTCCACATCAGTCCCTTGGTTGCCCTGATTGACTTGCACGTCCAACTTGCCGTCTCCACCGGCCTGAGCTCTCACCACCGGCAGCCTATTCCGCCGCAACGGAAAGGCGGCCGAGGATGGCAGAGTGGCGTTTGCTGTGATTGAAGACCTTGCTTTGTTTGAAAGCAAAGGTGACGAAGAAGACAAAGCCAATGTTGAAGCCATGTAACTAATAGTAACACAGAAAGTTAGCAAGCTTCTCTTTTGTGGGTAAGCACAACCTTCAGATTTCTTGGTGTGGTGGGGAGTTATCTTTGTGTATATATAGAGGTAACGGGATTGCGGGAAGAAAGCTTGGAGAAGGGTCTTGAATGTTAGAGAGAGAGGGAGAGTGAGGGAGAGAGTTATGGACCGAACACTTGTAAATTTTACATTTTTCTTGGTCCGTCTGGAAGGATCCATCTCTGTATGGATAAAGATTGTGATTTTGTTATTAGACCCTTCTAGTTTTAAGATATTTTCAAACAGGAAATGGATTCTTTCCCGATTTCTTCTTTTTAATTCATCAAGTTCGAAGATCCAAATCATTGAAATTTGATCTAACGGTTAAAATTATTATAATTTTTAAAGTGGATCCTTGTTTGTAGCCGTTAGATCAAATTTTAATGGTTTAGATTTCCGAACTTGATGAATTAAAAAGAAGGATCCGAAAATGATCCATTTCCTCTCAAACGAACCCTTGTTTTGTAGTGTGTTTTTCAGCACAAGGTTGTGATTCTGCCTTCTCCACAAATCCATCTCTGTCTTTTTGCTACTTATCTCTTTACCCATGTAATGGAAAGTTATAAGAACATCCCCAATTAAAGAAAAGTATAAGTGGTAACTCTCGTAGCCGGAAGGGGAATAACTTTCGTACAACTAAAATACTACGTGTCAATATTTTTAATAAGCATGAAAAAGAAGAACTTTCGTGCAAACTTCAATGTTATGATATTAAAATATTTTCATGAAAATGAATATACCACATGTCTATAAATAGATTTATGCAAGAAAGTTAACACACACTTGTAAGCCTGTAACAATTATTTGCCAAAGTTAATTAGACATTAGAGGCATGCTTGATTTGTTTATAGGGGATATTTGCCAAAGTTAATTAGGCATTATAGTGCCCTATCAACATGACATAATCATTCACGAGCTAGCAATAGGAGCTACTCTGAGTCCACTTGACCACCTGTGGACAATTTGGGGCCCATCTATGAGTCAGCAGAGTTTTTGCTTTTTATGGCCGGAAATTTTTTCTTTAATTTTTCTTTTTTGAAGTTTTTAATTTTTGGTTTGGCACTTGGCACAAATTAGATGAATTCAGATCCTCGTATAATCTCACACTCTGAAACTTATGAATTGGGCAATCCCAATCGGTTAAGAGAGAGATATGTAGGTATTGAAGAGAGAATGTGCGTGAGGTGGAGTAGTTAGATGAACTAATAAACGGTTTGAATTACTCGGTCTATAAGTTATGGAACGTGAGATTCGGAATGAATCTGAATTCCAGACGATATGCCACTGGCCATTGTTTTGTTGTTTCTCTTTGGTGATGTTTATGGAAGGACTGTTGTCCAGCGACTGACTTTAAATATTCACCTACCTTTAAACACACAGAAACAAAGAAGACAGAGAGTTCAGAGAATCCGATAAACTTTGACTGTTCTGCAATCCAAAAACCCTGCACTCGAACTGCATCTCATCTTTAACTCTTATCAAGAAATCCAAATCCTCAAAGGAAACACGCGTAAGAAATTGATGATTGTATGATTAATCACAATTTACTGTACTAACTTTTAATTATCTTACACTTCTGTAGGCTTGCAGCATCTGTCCCAAGTCTATCACACAAACTCGTAGCATGGTCAATGATTTGCTTGAGAAATTTGGATTGTGCTGTTTGATTAGGATAATTTTTATACTGGTTGGGAGCAACATGGAGTTGGGTGGGGACCAAATCACATGATGTCTCATATTTTCATAAAAGTTAATTTACCAATGATGTGGTCTGAGCGCCTCTACACAAGTTTATTTCTTGATTTAGAAGGACTCACTTATAGTCCTGAAGGTCTGAGGCACCATGATCTTAACATCTCTGTTTCATGTAAATCTCGCCCCTACTTTAGGGTACAATTCTTTCATGACTCAGTGAGTTGTTAATGAAAAAACGTATAAAGCAAAAGAGCAAAGGGTAAAAACCCTCCTCCCCATCTTTGCTTCAGCTTTCTGCAGTATCGAGAGCATTCACTCTTTCTTGTTGTCTATAAACTCTCTCTCTCTAACAAGTGACACAGTGCCCCATTAAAATCCTCCATGCCACAAGAAAACACCATTCCTTCCCGTTATCATTATATATACTACAACATATATTAACGTTACACTTACATGTATATATATGCATACAATATATATATATATATATATGTACAGTACAAGGCCTGCACTGCAGCTGCTGCTGCTCCTAAATGCATGGACTAGCAGAAGCAAAACCCCACTTGCAGAGCCATAATTTGTTCTCTATTCCCCTCTCATTAATTACATCTCTGCGTCTGAAGGTAAAGCATATATTCAAAACATATCAACTTCTCAAACAAGAAGTTCCTATAAAGAAATCCTCACGCTTCATTGTTTCATCATCTGGTATTTACCATTTTTGTAGTTTCTTGAGGTTTATTTTACTGGTCAGCATTTTCATGGGGAAGACTGGAGGGAGCTCCTGGTTGACTGCGGTCAAAAGGGCTTTCTGGTCTCCTACCAAGAGTGACAGAATCAACACTAGGAGGAGAGAAGAACTGCAGGAACAAGAGGAAGAAGAAAAGGTACGAACTTCGTTGCAGGTTTTGTATGCAGAAGAGCGATTTTCGCACTCTCGTCTCCTTTTTGCGCTCCTCCTTTAATAACCTTCGAATTGAATAAATCGAAGAAGAATCAGAGAACAAGAGAAGTAGTGCAGAAGGAGTAAAAGGGAGAGTGAAAATATCTGCCGAACCAAATTTCTCAACATGTTTCTCTATATTTTTTGAAGTATGCTAAAAACCAAAATAGTTGCTTGATTGGTTCTATGAGATCTGTAAATGAGTTTTGTTTCGGGTTTGATTTTCGCAGAAGAGAGGAAAGCGGAGATGGATTTTTAGGAAGCATACGAGCCAAGAAACGTTTATACATGTACAACATAGTGAGAGTCCAAACTCCGCTGCTGATGGCGGAGCAACCGCTCAAAATGCAACTATGGCAGCTCATGGTGAGGCTGGTGATGCTCTTGCAATGGCGGTGGCCACGAAAGCGGCGGCTCAGGCAGCAGTTGTCATGGTGCAAGCGGCTGTCAAAGCTGTTCGTCTTGCTAAGTCTAATTGCAGGCCTTCCATTTTCGTTAGAGACTATGCTGCCGTTGTTATTCAGACTGCCTTCAGAGGATATCTGGTACTTAACTACAATTAGTCATAAATTAATGAAGTTCCCGTGAATTAGAGTACTTTAAATGTGACATTGCTTGCTAGCTAGCTGGTGCAACTGAGCATTAACTAATTTGATTCCGGTTTTGAAGGCGAGAAGAGCTCTTCGGGCGCTGAAGGGGCTGGTGAAGCTTCAAGCACTGGTGAGAGGCCACAATGTTAGAAAGAGGGCAAAGATGACTCTGCAATACATGCAGGCTCTGGTTCGAGTGCAAGATCGTGTTCTTGACCAACGAACGAAGAGGCTTTCGCACGAAGGCAGCGCAGAGTCCATTTTCAGTGATCCCACTGGCTTGTGGGGATCACATTTCTCAGACAGAAGGGAGTCCATTGTAAGATAATTTTTAATGTTCTTGTTAGGAGTTAATGCCACAAATTTGGTCTGAATAAGCTAATTGCACTGTATCTAATGCAGTCGAAAAACGACGAGAGGAGCGCCACGGATGATTTGATCCATTGGGACGATGTCAAACCGAAAACATTGGAGCAGATTCAAGCCATGTTGCAGAAAACAAAACAAGCTGCCTTGAAGCGTGAAAGGAGTACCAGCCTTGCTTATGCCTTCTCTAACCAGGTCTTTGATCTACCTCAATGTTATGTCTCTCTCCCTAATTTGTATAAGTAGCTCATAATTTGTACTTAAAGTTATGTGTATGGTTTCATAAAAATTCAGAAATGGAGAAGTAGTGGTAGCGGTGACGAAGATGCTGGTGAGCATGAGGAGCTAGAGGAGAAGTTTAATTTGCTTGATGGTTGGACAAGAAGAAAGCAATGTGAGATCAATGCAGGCAGAGCTTCATGTGATCAGAGAGATCCCATCAAGACCGTTGAAATCGACACTTCTCGACCTCACTCTTATTCGAGTACCCCGAATTCCAATTCCAGAACCAAACGATCAGATCAATGCAATTATCAGAGCCATCATCTGCAGTATAATTATCAACAGCAAAGAGTTCATCCTCAGTCATATCCAGTTGCCTCTCCTCAATCACCCGTCACGCCATTTACTTCCGTGGCAAGAAATCTACAACACTCGGCTAGTCCCCGTTGCCTTCGTGGAGATCATAGGATTAACCACCCAATGCCGGCATCACATACACCAAACTTGAACTTGGGCTCAACTAATTACGACCACGGATTAATGGGGGTGCCAAACTACATGGCTGCTACAGCATCAGCCAAGGCTCGGATTCGGTCTCAAAGCGCACCAAGGCAAAGGCGTTCAACAAGCGAGAGAGAAAAGTCGGGGTCCGCGAGGAAACGCTTGTCGTTTCCAGCTCCTGACCCATGTGGTGGTGGCAGTGCTATTGCTGATATTAATGGTGGTTCAGATTTTACCTTGGAGAGCCCAAGATATAACAACGGCATCAACGGAGACCTAGCAGTTCGAATGCCGCGGAGGCCAAGCATGTCATCTTGTTACACAGATGGTGAGACATCTCCAACTTCCAGCGGTGAGCTCAGAAGGTACTGGTTTAGGTAATCAAGCAGAAGGATGCGATTGAGTGGCAGATTTGACAAATGATTACTCTGCTAACTCAATTTCAAATGCACAAATATGTGACTAGAGGAGCAATTAACTTAACTTTCAAGATTTCACTAGATGCTTTTATTCATGTATAATCTGTTGAGAGTTTTCCCACGTCGGTGAGGGACAATGTTTGCTATGTGCTTATATAGTCTTAGGCTACTCTCCATATTGCCAATTGGTTTTATGATGGAATCCCAATTTCATCATGGTATCAGAGCGGATTGTCCTCGTGTGAAGTCAAATGGTCACACGCGCTCCACGTCACCCAGTTGTTGTCCACGTGTAGACTTGAAAATCCGCCACACGTGCGGGGACATGTTGAGAGTTGTCCCACATCGGTGAGGGACAAGGTTTGCTATGTGCTTATATAGTCTTGAGCTACTTAGCTCTCCATATTGCTAATTGGTTTTATGATGGAACTCCAATTTCATACGTGTGGGGACATGTTGAGAGTTGTCCCACATTGGTGAGGGATAAGGTTTGCTATGTGCTATGTTGAGAGTTGTCCCACATCGGTGAGGGATAAGGTTTGTTATGTGCTTATATGGCCTTGAGCTACTCTTCATATTGCTAATTGGTTTTATGATGGAACCCCAATTTCACACGTGCGGGTGAGTATTGAGAGTTGTCCCACCTCGGTGAGGGACAAGGTTTGCTATATGCTTATATGGTCTTAAGTGACTCTCCATATTGCTAATTGGTTTTATGATGGACCCCAATTTCATTTTCGCTTATGACACTGGTCTTGAGCTACTTTCCGTATTGTCAATTGGTTTTATGATGAACCCCAATTTCATCATAATCTTGTTGAATATTCGACATACAACAAGATATGAGTGCATTTTCGCTCACGAACCTACTTATTATTATGAAAAAGTATAAATTTCGATATTTGTGTCTAATTACTGCTCATATCTCGAAATTTAAACTCATTCAATAATAATAAATAGAATGGTAAGCATCACTATCGCTTGACGTTGATGAGCGAAAGTATTCCCGCTGGATATTGAACAAAGTTGGTGACATCATTTCCCCATTGTCTTTCTGCAAATAATACCATGAACAACTGCACAATGCATCAGCAGTGTCCTGTACTACAGAAATGAAGATATTTCTCCGAGATCTTCGAGATGGTTATCAACTTGTGACATAGATATTGTATCATCATCCGCACTACGTGCGCGAGCTTTTCCAAGAACAGACCCGTAAAGACGACCCCTACATCCGAAACAAACAAATCATGCGACGACAATGCGCACATGGAAACACATGGCACCTCCTTGCAGCCAAATCGTAACTTGAAACTTCACTTTTTGCAGTTTATCAGATATTTTTGTGTATGTGGTTAGACGGCCACCAGCAGTTGCGGAGAATTGACTCCTTATTCGAACGAAGAAGGAGCCAAGCAGTGGTCATGCGCAGATTATTTAATGTGGTGGATTACATTACGACTTATACTTTAGCTATTCAAATAATGAGTCGGAGTTCTACATAAAATTGTTTGTGTCAATTTACTTAATTTCGTGTTTATGATAAAAACCGTTCATATTATAAATCACTATATAAAAATTACAATAGCAAAAAATCAATTAAAACAAGTATCATAAAACAGATGAAAGAAATTGGCAAAAGTATTGCGAACCTTTTATATGTTTGCTATAATAGATTAATTAAACGACATTAGTTTTAATTAATTTTTTACATAAATGAACTTTACATAATAATTTATAATACGAACAGTTCTAATTATAAGCACAAAACTCTGTGATTTGAACATGAAAGAGTTATAAAAAGAATGAATATGTCATAGTGCTCGTCAAAGAGTGAGGAATCATGTACTAAAACGAAAGTACATATCAAATTCATGGCAAGCTCATCAATAGTAGAAGAATGTCACATAAACAAGTCAAAAGTAGATATTATTCCCAACAAAGATCTTGACGAACCTGAGAGAAATTTCAGTAGAGTTGTCTTGAGACTAATAAGCTAGTACAGCCAACAAAACTATAGAAAACAACAAAAAGGTTTAGAATAATAAGAGAACAACTTTCTCCCAAAACAAATCCACTTGGAGAATCACAACAAAACTAATCCAAACACAACTACTAGACTAATTTGAAAAGGAAAATGGATTATGCTTTGCTCTGATTTAACCAGAGAGAGACAATCTCTGGCTTGGCCCTTGAACTTGCAAGTGTTGGGCTGCTATTACCACTGCTATCAGACGGTGAAACAAACTTTTTCTGAAGAACTCCCGACGGCGATGACACTGCCAAAGGACTGCCCAATTCTCCATTAGTAGTAGTACCGGTTGTGACCGGAGACGAAGGATTTGAGGCTGCGCTAGTGGTCGGTTTAAGGACCTCAGCCAATGGGCCGCCCGGTGCTGAAGCAACCCATGAAGCAGGCCACGTCGAACCCCTCGGCATCATCCCATTTCCTCTGGTTCCTAAGCTCATCTGAGTCTGACCCATTTCCTCATTGATGGAGTTGTACCCGCCCATCGATAGGGTAAGCGAAGAAGGGGAGAGCTGCCCGCTCGACGGAGCTGAGCTGTTGTCATTGTTGTTAACAGAGTTGGCTGCCATTGTTTCTTCATCCGTCACTGTTTTCGACCATGCATCAATGAAATATCTAGGGGTTTCTTCAAGCAGGGGACTTTCTAAAGGGGCCACATCCGGATTGAGAAACAAATTGCACTCGCCGCCGCCGTCTTGCTGATCCTCTCCGGCGCTGAAATTCGTAAACGAATTCAGATTCAAGAAAGACTCCTCTTCGGAACGATTGCTGAAAACAGAGGAATTCGGGTCGAAAAACGGGATCTTGGTGCTCAGCTCTGTTTTGCTATGCATCAGTTGGTGCCATTGTGCATCAGAAACAGGTTCTCCCTTCATCATCAGCCAGTCCAAGTTCCTGCAGTAGCACAAAACATTATCAAACAAAAATCATACAAACACGATTCTAATCGAAAATTTTAGTACAAAACACAAATGTTTGGTTCTTGGCTTTGAAAAGATTGACACTTCTACTATTTCATTACACCAAACACTCAAAAAAGACAAAAGGGCTTGTTTGGCAACCAGGATTGGACTCGAAGGTGGACTATGTTCCTCGTGAATGAAACTTATCCGGTCCAATCGCCACATAAAAGATAAGTTTACTTCATGAATAATCTTGTCTAGTCCCTAATAGCGAAAAATCGCAAGTGAGTTATCCAATCCAATCCAACCTAAGCACCAAACGAGCCCAAAAACTAATCAGATTCGAGAAACAAATCGGAAACCCATCACCGACCTGGGTTCTCTGTTTGCTGAAGCAGAGTTCATAGATTCGAAATATGCAAACTTTGCACCATCCCTCTCCGGAAACACTGGAGACGGATGGTATGGACGAAGATTAGATCCCATAAACTGAGATGAGCAGACATTTTTGTTGATTCCATTTGCAGGGTTCGAAATCGACACGGTCTCCGGAGATACAGTCGGAAGAGGAGGAGCAAGATTGATGTCGTGGCGAACCCTCTTGCTTGCGGCGGTGGCATGAACTTCCACATGCTTTCTTGAACGGGGTCGGCCTCTGTGCATGTGACGCTCGCAGTACTTCTGGTCCGGCGCCACGTCTCTCGAGCACCGCCATTTTTTCCCGTCTGTTCTCTTGCACCGCCCCGGCTCCGGATCCGTGCTGTTCGACAGCCGGAGATTGAACCTACCTCCCACTGTTCGCCAACCAAAACAGAGCACCATTAAAAAAGATCGAAACTTCAGTGGAAAACGAGATTCAAGAAGCAAAACCCACATCAGGAAAATCGATTCGAAGAACAAATTGAGAAAAAATGAAGTGATTTCCGCACTACGCTTTTTTCCCCACACAACCTGAGGAATGCAGAAAGAGAAAACGGATGTGCGGAAATCATTTCTCGACGGCGAAAACAGAAGGAAAGGGGATTACAGGGAGATTGGGAAGCAGCTGTTGTTCCAGGGGGAGTTGTAGTGATGGGGAAGAGGAGATCACGGGGAACAGGGAGAGAAGCCACCATGTATTTGTATATCATAGCTTGTCTCTCAAGCTCCTTCCACTGTGCATTTGTGAAAGGAAATCCAAACGACGTCGTCATCCCTCCTGCAAATCAGCAAGCTTTTACACTCTTTCCATAAATAAAGACTCGATCTTTCACACTGCGTTTTAACTCGAAAGGAAAAGGGAATTACAAACCTGCAGAACGAGTGTTTGTTCGAATGTCAAAAGGCTGCAAGTTTCTTAAAACTGCACCACCGCCACTCGAAGAACCAGTACCAGTACCAGCAGCAACGACATCGTCGTATGTAGGAGGAGGCCTGTTACATGTGGGGCCACCAGCATCAGGAACAGGTGTTGTGTCTGATGATGGAAATGGACGGCGGTGATTATCATGATGGACCATCATCATCTTCTTCTTCCTTGTGTGAGACGCCAAAACACAAAACCCAAAATCTTCTTTCTTTCTTTCTTTCTTCACAAGTTCACAACGACTTTTCCTTATTTGGCAAACTTCCCTTCCATCTATCAATCTGCCGACCCAACTTTTTGATTTCTGCTTCTTCTCTCTGCTGCAGCAAGAAAGCTTTATGCTTGATGCTTATTTATCTTCTCTCTCTCTCCTCACTTTCTCTCTCCTCTTATTACTAACTTTGTTGTTTAGAGTTGGGTGTGCAGTGCATGGGATTTAAGAATATAGTTTAGTGGGTTGCCGCCATTCTCGGCCTCTGCTTTGCTTCCATGCTTCCAACATTCGCACACCATACTCGCTAGTTGCTACTAGACAAGAAAACCCTCTCTCTCTACACACAAGAAAACTCTCTCTCTCTCATCATTATTGTGGCATCTATCGTTTTCTGCATGTAAAGCTAAATCTCGTAGAAATCCTGCACCTGTTTTTTCTTTTCTTTTTTTCCTATTAGTCTTATTGGGAAGTGGCCACCTCTATCAATTAAGGGCAGCCCCTACTCTCCATCGGAGGGGCGGATAACGAACCCTACTTGATATTCTTCCCCAACCTTTTCCTTTCGTACATGAATTACATTGTATTATTGGTCTGCAACGCAAGCATTGCATTATTTGCATGTACATGTAACTATTCGTTCTTTAGTAATGTCATTCATAATTATAGAGATATAAACATAAATCGGAACAATGTTT